TTTGGATTTGGATTTGGGTTTGGGTTTGGGTTTGGATTTGGGTTTGAAGGAGTGAGGTTGGATTGGGTTGGGTTAGATTGGGGTAGGTTGGGTGCGGATGGAAGAGAGGAGGTTTTGGAATTGTAAATTCTGCTTTCTTGCTTACTTTCGGTTTTTTGATTGGTTGGGGAGGTACGTAGTACTTGAGTCTTGTGTTTACGGATTATGTATGGGATGGGATGGGATGATTTGATGTGCGTGCATGGATATGACAATTGTGGATGCGTAGCACATTTGAAGGAGGATAAACTTTGACGTGAACGACAAGGGGGGTGAGGATTACAATTACTACTTACGTAGTACAATTCCAGCCAACATATACTCAACCGGCAAGTCGATGCTTCTTCCTCTTTTATTCATCCGGATGAATTGTTCTCTAAGCGAGCTCTCGTAGCTGGATAGATCGATAGCGAGCTGGCTGGCTGGCTGGCTGGCTGGCTGGCTGCCACTTATCAAAACATACCACGCTACAGGCCTAAGTGTGACTCCGCACAGCCTGAGGGTGTCTTAAAAGCCTAAATCTCCACCCTCAACCCCCTGGTTACTCTGCCCTACACTCAGGGTGTAACACTTGCTTACAGACTACGCCTGTGCCGTTGTACTTACGTAGTACTTACTACTACATACTACGTATATATATCCAAACCCCAGACCCAGAAGCGAAGCTATGACTTCTTGTCCTTTTTTTTTAAAAAAAAAAGAAAAAAAACATCCTCCAACCACCATTTCCTTCCTTCTTACTCCCTCCCTCTCCCACCACGAAAATTCCACACTCCTAATCGAAAAGAAAAATCCCATAATCAACCCACGTACTCTATACTCACTAAGGATCGCCTCTTCCCTCCTCCCTCCCCTTCCCCCTCCCCTTCCCCTTCCCTGCCTACCCCTCCATGATGGAAAACATGAACTGATTATCCTGCACGAAACCGATGCCCACAAACAAAAGCAAACAAGCAAACAATCCAAGCAAGGCAAGGCAAGCCCAGCAATGTAGGTAGCACAGACTGACAGACTGACTCGCTGCATCTCGTCCCTGACTCAAGCGACGATAGCAAACCCGGGCGGGCGGATGCGGCCAAGGGCTGCCAACTCTCTCTTTCCGTATGTGATATAATGTGATAAGTACAGGTAATGTGAGATGATTTCTTTTTCTTCATCGTCTTGTCTCGGCAGGTAGACAGGCAAGACATTCAGTAAAGGAGCTAGCTGGCTGGGGCTCCCTATTAAGCAGGGCTTGGAAGCATCTTTCCTGGGATTTCTATGCTTTTCAATTCTGGTTTTTTTTAATGGGGGAGGGAGGGGGAGGTGATTATTCAAAGAGGTCAAAAGGAAGAGAAGAGAAAGGAAAGGAAGGAAGGAATACTGTGCTTGCTTCCTGCCAGCCCGCCGCCCGGCCAGCTCAAGCTTCGATAGATGGGTAGATGCAGCTGCCGATTGTCACAAGCCTTTTTTTACGAAAAGACAAAGCGAAGCGCGACGCGCGGTGGAAAAACAGGGCAGATTCTTCCTGGAAAGAGAAAATGATCTGTCTCTGGGTCTGGGTCTGGGTCTGGGTCCTGGTCTGGGGTGGGTCTGGGTATAGCAGAGTAGGGCAGGGCAGGGCAGGGTAGGGCGGGGATATTTTATTTGTTTCTTCTTCTTCTCCTTCTCCGCTTTCTTTTCTTTTGTTTTTGTTTCTGGGGAGGCAATCGTCTCGTATCCGTACAGACCACACACGCATGTGAAATCGGGAGCTGGCAAATGCCTATCAATATATATGTATGGTGGCTGCTGCTTCCAGAATACAGCTTCATATCGGATACTGACTAAGCTTCCATATGCCATATGACACACATATGCATAGTATTTATCCTCAGATCAATGTCAATAATAGCGTAAACTCATAACTGGCATTACGTGCCAGGAGAAGCCCGTTACGTATTTTGACTGATACTTAATAAGCGACATAAGATCTACGACTATCTCCGTCTCGGAATATAATAACTATGTGGTAAATAAGTTACTCCGTACAACATCCGATTCTACTTACTGACTCTAAAGCCCAAAGACCACCTCCCCTGAAACGAGGGGGACTTACTACTAAGTAAGCGAGAATAGACAAAACAAAACAAAACAAGACAGGCTCATCAGTCACCTCCCATCATTACCCAATCTCGTCATGACCCTACGCCCCCCGGAAGAACACACTGAGATATCCATTTCCCCTTGACCTCCAATTGCAATTCCAATTCCAACTTTTGCAGACTCGGGCCCCCCACCCTGCCCCTCAACCTGCCCCCCGAGTTTTCATCCCGAGCTTTCATCCCGTCGTCTTCTAGCCCTCCAATTCCTTCACCGCTTCAACGAGAGCATACTCCCAACACGTGCCCAAGGCGTCGCACTCCTCGACGATCCGCTCATCCTCCCACCACCAGCGCTGCCCCTGCACGTAGCCACCCCACATCTCCTTCCACAGCATGCGCCCGACCACGGTTTTCAGCTCCAGCTTCGTGCTCTCGGCGTCCGCATCACCACCACCAGCAGCACCAGCACCACGGCGCCCCACGGACGCGAAGAAGCGCACGTGGATGATGGTGCTGCCCTCGGCGCGCAGGCGCGCGTCGGAGAGCCAGACGGGGAAGAGCCGCGACGGGTGCAGGCAGCGGAACTGCCGCTCGAGGTGCAGCAGGAGGTGCGTGTCGAGCCAGGCGCGGAGGCGGGGGCCGAGGGTACTGGCCAGGGGCGAGGGGTCGAGGAGCGTGAGGTGCAGGGTGCCGCCTCTCCTGGGGGACTTGGGCAGGGCGCTAGGGATCGTTCGCGGGCTGGGGGGTGAGGAGTCGGGAGATGATGGTGATGCGGGGGTGGAAGGGATGGGGTTGGGTGCGAGGGTGAGTGTGCGGTGGCATTCCTTGAGCATGTCTGGGATGGAGGATGCTGGGAGGAGGGAGGCGATGGGGAATGCGTGGATGTGCGAGAAGGTGTTGGAGGGGTAGGGGAGTTGTGAGATGGGTTCGGGGACTGCGGTGGGGTGGATATTCGGGTAAGTCTTTGAGGACAAGGGGCTTGTTGAGAGGTGGTGGACTTCAGTCGCGATGGTTAAGGCTGCCAGTGACGACGAAGAAGCTGGATCCAATGTTATTGACCACTTCTAGAGCATAATACACTTGTGATGATAGCTTACCATGGTTCTCATATAGAGAGAGGATCTTCGTCGGCTCGGAGGCTTGCGCCTCCATGATCTCCTGGAGACTATTTTTTCTCTTGAGACTTCTCAACGCAGTCAACATCCAGAGCTGCTTCTCCAGCTCCAGCTCGCGATACACCGACGCATCCGCGACCTGGGTCCACTCCTCCTTCAACCGCTCGAGCACAATCTTCGGACTCGCAGCTTCCATGCGACGGATGCTCTTCCGGATATTCGCAACCTCTGTCGGCGGGGCTCTGTGGCGCCGTTCCTGTATTGGCCGCAGTGGAGCCGAGAAGGATCTTGTTGGGGAGCTGGTGGGTGTTGCCTCGTTAGAAACCCAGCTCTCCGGCGGCTTCCAGGTGTACGATGGCTTGTTCTTCTTCAGGAATGGTGACGGGCTGAGCGGAAGCGCGCGCTCTTTCCTCGAAATAGGCTTTGGCGACGTCTCGGGTGTCATGCACTTCGGCATTGGAAATGCAAAGGTAGTAGATGAAGTAGGTCTTGAGGATCAGCCGAAGCCACGGGTGGGAAGAGGCGGGATTCGCTTACCCTTCGCCAGATAAGGCTTGCACTTCACTTGGAACGACATTGGACGCCGAGACGTGGACAATGTTTACCGTATCTTCTGTAGCCTCAGTGTCTTTACTTGAGGAGATCATGGCCTCGGTGCTCTGTGTGACGAAAGAACTTTCGTTTGGAGGCTGAACAGTCTTTCTCGCGCAGGTCATGGATTCCGAGATAGATCCATAGCTCGAGTCTGTTGTGACTGATTTCTCAGTCCATCCCGAGAAAACAGACTCAGAAACTAGCGATTTTGTTAGCAATGCATCTGAAGAATGGAGGGACCACCCACCATCTGCGCGTGCTGAGAGCTCTGTGTCGGAGAAGTATGGGGGGCTGCCAGCGAAATATACCGTCTGAGGAATGCTAGTCGAGATCCCGGGCAATTCTGACCCCGAAAAGATTGAATCTGTGGTTATGGTTGAGAATCTCTGAGATGAATGAATAGAGTTGTTCGTTGTAGATGGGGTCTTGGGACGGAATCCCAGCCGACTCCCGCCTTCATTTCTGCCGGCTCCGAAAAAGTTCAGCAAAGATGGCTTTTGGGCTCCCTTCGATCCCGATGAATTGGAACTCCGCACTGACGATACTCTCGAGACACCACTGGTATTTCGACTTTTCCCGTTCGCGATCTGTTGCTCTTTGCGTGTCTTCCGCTGGCCCACAGTTTCCCTGGCCGGGTCGCTCCAAGATACATCGAACATGGTTGAAGGTGACAACAGGAGGGCAGCAAAACGCGAAGGACAGTGACAGACCGATAACCCATCGACGACGATATGATAACTAGAGGGGCACTGAAATGTGGGATGTGGTGCGTCAGAAAAAGAAAGTTATGCTGAAATGTGACATGTTCCTTTCCGCCACGAGGATGTTAAGCAAAACAAAATGCTTTTTTCTCCTTGCATATGCCACCATCGAGGAAAACGTCCACTACATTTAATTGGTGACAGCATAGTGGTGTTCAGACCGAGTGTGATATTACTCTGTATACTGCCAGAAGCAGGTTCCCGTCGACTCCACCCAATGGATGTCGGCACTCGATCGACACCGTTGCTCTTAGATTACGCACATAATGTATTCGGCACAACGCTCTCGGGGAAGTTGCGACGAGCACAACATCGAATGGTTAGACGAGCCGAGTCTGAGAGGGGCAGGAAGATGAGGGGAGTAATAAACAGAGGTACGGAGTAAGGTGGGTGGGTAGTTTAGGAAGTGTACTGAGTACAGATAGGCAGTGTAGCAGGTAGTGTAGTCAGAATAAGGGGCCGACCCGAGAGTGGGTCAGGGCCAAGCGAGGGACTGTTGTTGTTGTTGTTGTGGGTCTGTAGCTCTTTAATTTCATCCCTTTTCCCTCTTTTTTTGGGGGGTGTTCATCATCATCAACCTTTTTCAAGAGGAGCATCTATCTTTCTATCTATCTAACCCAAGAATATCTACTCTACAATCGCCTATTATTCCTGCCTCATGAGTGACTGATATCGCCCGCACACCTTTCATTTTCAACTCCACATCTCGTGATCACGTAACCCACAGCCTCGTGATAATCCTCGAAAGGGGCGAGGGCAGGCCAGGCCAGGCAGGGAGAGTTGATTTGTCCGCCCCCCCAGAGAAGCCTGTGTCCACTGGCCGATCATGATTACGTGCATAATGATGATGCACGCTACGTCGACGCAATATATTGTCGAGATCTGCTTCGTCCTCTGCAAGCCAGCCAACGAACTTCAATGCCGTCGGTCACAACGTGTGCGCCGGGAGCGCAATGCAGCAGCCACTAGTGGCACCAATGTGCCACTGAGGGCGACTCTCGTAATATAACTATACGGGGTTTTCGGACCAGATGAGAAATCCTCGAAGAACTGAAGCCCCCGGAGCCCCAAGTGGTGGACGAATATGGAAGAACATAACCTAAGCGGAATGTGGAGGAAAATCTAGGCCTCCAGACCTGGCTATGAAGCTATCGAAAGTGGACTCCACTTGTTGTCTCTCTCACTCCTCTTTGCTGCACTGCATTGCATTGGCCTATTAGATTCTTGCAGTCGCTTGCCTTGCCGAAAGGGGTTGTCTCACGCGGCAGCATGCAGTACCTTTGTTTCATCTCGAGTCTTTATATATCTGCACATTTCATAAATCCGTTACCCGTACCCTACAGCAAGCAGCAAGCAGCAAGCGGTGAATGACAGCTGCGCCGAGTCTATCTAGTAGCCCCTTGTTTTCTTTTTCGTCCTGCGAACGCCAACGTCCATGTCAACCCCGCATGTTGACTTGAGGCGCTTTTCACGAATGAATTCCCGTTATTTTTGCCAGCTATATATCTTCTTTCTGCTACCCACGCTCTGTTCATGAGCTGCCAAGAAGACTTAAGTTGGAGTCATGCTTTCCATCAGAAATGCGGTGGTGGTACTGGATAAGAAGGTAGCGAGGTCTACCTTTGGAAGGGTTTTTCGATTAGATGGCTCTGGTCATGTCAGTATTCCATCGATGTTGGCCGTGGCAGAGCTGACTTTAGACAGCCGAAAGATCGCAAAGGCTCCCGATTCATGACCGAGATATGGGCTGGCATGACAACCTTCTTCACGATGGCATACATCATTGCCGTGAACGTAGGCGTTGTGTTTCTCTCGCTACCGTTCATTCTCTAAAATTTGCGCAGGCATCGATTCTTACTGAGAGTGGAGGAACCTGTATATGTAAGGACACGGCCGATCCATCATGTGCGAACGATACATCTTACAACAATTGCTTGATTGGTATGGCCTTGATTCCAGATCGAGTCTGAGAGACCAACTAACCCTGCCAGGCATCAAGCAAGACCTGACCACAGCAACCGCAGTCATTGCTGGCATTGGATCGATCGCCTTCGGATTCCTCACCAATCTTCCTGTGGCACTGGCGTATGTGTTCACCCTAACAATCCGTCCAAGAGCTAATCGTTGACAGGCCTGGCATGGGATTGAACGCCTATTTCACCTACCAAGTTGTTGGATATCATGGAACTGGATCGGTTTCCTACAGTCTCGCTCTTACCGCCGTGTTTATCGAAGGATGGGTTTTCGTTTTCTTGTCCCTAGTCGGGTTGAGGCAGTGGCTTGTCAGAATCATCCCTGCCTCTGTCAAAGTCGCAAGTGGCGTTGGAATCGGCATATTCCTGACTGAAATTGGGTTGTCATATTCTGGCATTGGCTTCATCTCTGGGTCGACGGTCACGCCAACCGATTTGGCCGGATGCCCCCCCGAGTATCTTGTCGAAGGCAACTGTTCCGGCCACAAAATGACCAACCCAACAGTATGCGCTCCCAGCCGCCCAGATTCCATTGAAGGCCTGCACAACTGACAGTAGCATAGTTGTGGATAGGCGTCATGTGTGGCGGAGTCCTGACCGCCTATCTGATGGCTTACCGTGTGAAATCGGCCATCATCATTGGCATCGCGCTCGTTTCCGTTATATCCTGGCCTCGCGATACCTCCTTCACCTACTTCCCACGCAACAGTACCGGCGACCGGATGTTCGACTTCTTCAAGCAGGTTGTGGCCTTTCACCCGATTGAGAAAACTTTCATCGCGCAAGACTGGAACGTCAGCGCTGCATCCGGGAATTTCGTGGTTGCATTATGCACTTTCCTTTACGTCGATATCATCGATGCCACCGCGACTCTCTACTCCATGGCCCGGTTTTCCGGCGTCGTCGACCCTGAGACCGGGGATTTCGCTCGGTCTACCCTCGCCTACTGCACCGATGCAGTCGCTATCTCTATTGGGTCTCTCTTCGGCTGCTCCCCAGTCACCGCGTTCATCGAGTCCGGCGCCGGCATTACCGAAGGGGGCCGTACCGGCCTCACTGCCATCACAACCGGTGCATGTTTCCTCGTCTCCATCTTCTTCGCCCCCATCTTCGCCTCGATCCCACCGTGGGCGACGGGCTGCACGCTCGTCCTCGTCGGCTGCATGATGATGCGGCAAGTCACCTCCGTAAACTGGGCGTACATCGGCGACGCGCTCCCCGCCTTCGTCACCATCGTCGCCATGCCCTTCACCTACTCCGTCGCCTACGGTCTCCTCGCCGGCCTCTTTTCCTACACCGTCCTCAACACCCTCATCTACCTCACCAAGGTCCTCTCGGGCGGGCGCATCCAGCCGCCGGACGCTGACGCCGCCGAGTACTGGACGTACAAGGTCGGCGGCTCGCACCCCCCCTGGTTCATCCGTCTGGCGCAGGGCGAGCTGTGGCGCACGGATAGCTTCGAGCATATCGAGACGCGCTCCGTGTGCGCGGGCACGGTGGCCTCGGAAAAGGAGCTTGTCGAGGGCGAGGGTGAGGGCGCCTTGCCGGTAAGAGTCCAATCGCGGTTGGCGACTATGTGATATGAAACGACTCACGATTGACGGCATGGACGGACGAGCTTTGACATGAGCAAAAAGGTGTGCGATTTTATAGGAAATACGGGCATATATATATATATATATATACATCCATGGTCCCTACTGTATGATCATCTAACGGCCAGGCTATCTTTCACAAAATTAAATCAATAACGGCTGATTTGTCCGGTTCCATGAGTTTATGGGGTTTTTTTTAGCTTTGCAAAACTACTTCCCTCAAGCTGCCTCCGAGACAGGCTGCTTGAATCTGACAGCAAGGGCCGTACCCATCCGTCGGATCAATACCAGAAATGGAAGGAGGGGGGGGGGGCTTAAGAAAAAAGAGACTGATGCATCCCATCTTCCCTCTGCTATGAAATGAAACTCGTAAACCAAGCATAGTTAATAATTAGGCGATTGAATAGTGCTGTTGTAGTGAACAGGCTGTGCTAGGCGCTTGTCTACCTAGTACTCTTCTTACCTTGCACTTCTTTATAGCTTCTTCCTCCTCCTCTTAATGTTTCTCCGAGCCCAAAGTTCCCATAACTCTTGCACTGCGCAAAATGATCATGCAAAAAATAAGAAGTTCTATAGGTGAATTGACCTTAGCTCAAAATTGGAGCTGATGTCGCTAAACTCAACTTTCGTTCGCCTTATTGCTAGAATGCTGATATCAATTTTCGTTTTAGTATATTTTTCATTTCTCACGCGGTAGATCGTTGTTAGCTACTGATTTTCTGGACTGCGTGAGGTAAGTTTAAGTACCTAGTAGTCATACTATATCTATATTTATCACGTATTGCAATTCACTTTGGTCCGATACTATTGTACTCTCCATATTTCTGACTTCTCAACCCTCGCATTCTAGAGCAGAATTTGGGATATCAGGCGTCCCCGTGGTTAACCTTGAGACGCTTGGCTCCTTGTCCAATCCCCGCCATATTGTCATCGGCGCCTTCCTCTAGCTCCTGTCCATCGCCAATTCGAGGCAACGGAGCTCCCCTCCAAACGAGCAATCTTTCTGGGTTGTCCGGATACCAACAATCAACTTCCAAGTGAGTATTTACCTTCTCCGCCAGATCCTTGTTTTCTTGCCCGACAGCGGAGACACGGCTCTCAAGCGTAGCCTTCTCGATCGTAAAGTCTTGAGTAGTGGCGTCGGAGTCTTAGACCAAGGTACTGTAACACGAAAGAACGAGAATTAATTGGTTGCGCACCTATCAAATTATCATTTCATCTCGTGTTTATTCTGGAGATTGAAAGTGAGTGAAACACGGGGTTGGAAAGAGTGAGGGCGAGCTTCTTGTAAAGAACAGTCAGTGCTCCGGGAGCGGATTAAACCCATCTGTTGCCGGCGTGCTCAAGACTGAAAAGGATCAGGATTGTGCCGTGATGCGTTGGAAAATCTCTGATTGACTGACTGATTATGATAATCTTGGGAGCCTGCATCTTTGCCCATATTCGGTTGCATATGTCTGGCGACGATGTTATTTTATAGTTGGCGCTCAACTAAAGCGAGCTTGCGAGCTTTGTATTTCCGAAGAGCTCCTTCCCTTTTAAGGGGAATATAGCCTTATGGAAAAAATGCAAATAACTTTTTTAAGCGAATGGAATTGATTAGTCAATTAAAAAGTGGGCGTAGTAACGGATAACAAAATCCTAAAATGATAAACAGCGTGATTGAATTCCACTTGATTCCCGGACTTTTAGTATCTCCGTTTTTATCTCAACCCGTTTTAATTCAACGCAAGATTAATCGCGTCAACCATCACACTCTTCACTTAGCTACTACCGTTCGCAATTATCAGTTAATGAATTGATTACGAATATTGCTTTTATAGCATTTAAAGCACTTTCCCCCCTTTTTTTTTTTTGCGAGTTCTTCCGAGCTCCGCTATGCTTTCAAAAAACCGCTTAAAAAACACAAGTCGCTTTAAATAGCACGATTGAGCAAGAATATATTAAATGTCATACCTAGAAGAAACAAGCCGCAAACTCCAAGTCTAAGACAAACAATAAGGTCCTCTCGCTTTGTCAGAGCTGTATTGTTGTTGTTGTTGTTGTATTTATTTACGTCGGGCGGGTAGCAGGCGAAGCCTGCCGCCCTAGGACCTCCATGGGGTACGGCGACGTGCTAAGCTAAGGAGTTACATACAAGAAGGCCCTAAAAAGCAATTCATAGTGCTGTAGCGAGAGCTACTATCGTGTGCGCCCTTCCTTTATAGATAGGATGGATTACAATAAAAGAAAATCTTTCGTCAAGGGGAAACCACAAAAGAGAGTCAAGCAGGTACAGACTGCTGTAGCTAGCTAGTAGCGTAGCTGTGCAAGTCGCGTAACGACGAGAGTCGAGGCCGGATCGGGGTCAGCCGAAAACAAATGAAAAGAAAAGTCCAATGCAAAAGCCCAAACTCCAAAAGAAAACCCAGTATTGTACAGCAGTGTGATTGTCAGAGCTGTAGTAACCAAGGAAAGGCGTTTAAGCATTCTCGCACGCTTATTGATATAAGTATAAAAGAGAGCGAATCTATTGCTAGACCGTTTAAAACTAAAAGAATAAGATACACTCTTACAAGGGAACGCATGCTAGGGAATATGGCTTATACTCGAACGCAGCTCTTTTTTACTATTGCTTTCGTTATTACTATTTACAAATCTTAAAAGATTATAGCGGATATAATAGTTACGAATTCGATTTAATGATCACGTTATTGGATTGGATTACGTAACTATTTCACTGGTCAAGACTTTAAGAGGTCTTCTTACTAAGGGGTCATTCGATTACTTGCGTTTTTAAGTTACGAAGGTTTGGAAGACTAAGACTATAAGACTCGCTGATGTAGCACGTTGCTTCGTTTAGCATGTTCCTCTTCTCATTTCAGAATTAGATTAATTTACGTTATTAAGGATTCATAATTGTGGATGTATGGAGGTCACGTTTTGGTGATAGAGCTGAAGGTACTAATAATTGAAGACTAGAGATGTATTGTTATTTCAAACTTCAAATTAATCAAACAAACAGGCCTCTTGGAATTCTATGAACTCTTAATTGCACGTATATACATTAGTAGGTGCACTCCCAAGCTCGCTTTGCTATTACGTAAGCCGCTTGCCATTTACGTCAACTTACTTAATATTATTTAGCGGATATATATCGCTCTATGCCTATAATGGAAGTGTTACGGAGATCAGCTCGGGAGGCCCGAGCAGCAATAATCAAACCTCTCCTTTTGCACCCTCGTGATCTGGTTGTTGTTAATATTTTGAATGGCTGACTTCTCAGGTTGGAGCTGCTTTAGAATAGCAATACCTATCTATCAGATCGGTCATTAGGAAGGTTCAACAATCTGAGATTCATCAGTACCTCGCAGCAGCCGATTCGCAATTATTCTCTCCGCAACCTTCTATTGAGACAGCCGCCCTTCATACAAACATAATGGCGACTTCTACTGGATACGGGGCTACAGGTGGCTCTGGTGATCTAACCAGCGCTGGTCACGATGGAACCAACGAGGAGCAGCCTCTGCTCGGCCACAGGCGCTCGATATCTAGCTGGCGCTGCAAAATGACCGTGAATGTCAGCCGCGACTGGGCCGATATCGTGCTCCTCCTATGCTATGTCATTACCGGCCTCCTCGACAGCGCCGCCATCTCGACCTGGGGATCCTTCGTTTCGATGCAGACAGGTAAAGAGACCGACCCTGCAGCTCAAAGACACCCCCTTTTGATACCAGGCGACTGACACACTATCTCTCGTCCAGGAAACACCGTGTACATCGGCCTCGGCCTCGCGGCGCCCCACGAATCCAAACGCTGGATCAAATCCGGCGTCTCCTTGGTCTCCTTCTGCATCGGCTCCTTCTGCTTCAGCCGGTTTCATCGCTTCCTAGGCGTCAGCCGGCGCTGGGTCCTCTGCGCCTCGTTCCTCCTGCAGAGCGTCCTCATCGTCGTCGCGGCGTTGATCCTCACGTGGGGTCCCCCATCTGCGACCGCGAACAGCGATATCACCTGGAACGTCCTCGTGCCGATCGCGCTGGTGGCGTTCCAGAGCTGTGGACAGGCCGTCACGAGCAGGGCGTTGAGGTTCAACGCGCTGACGAGCGTGGTGCTGACCAGCATCTACTGCGATCTGTTCTCGGATGCGGAGCTGTTTGCCGTGCGCAACGTGGAGAGGAACCGCAGAGTTGGGGCGCCGGTATTCTTGCTCTTTGGCGCTGTGATGGGTGGCTGGCTGGCCAGTTCTACCATCGGAGCGGCGGGGGTGTTGTGGATTGCTGCTGGCTTGAAGTTGCTCGTCGTAGTGTCTTGGTTGCTATGGCCTGCTGAGAAGGAATAGAAAGCTGTGGCTTCATGGGTCTCGAACATCAGTGTACCTAGCACGGAAACCCAGAAGCTGAGCAAGATCTTTCGCCTAAGCCACCTCAAAGATCACTTCAATGGGCATTCAATAATTCAATCCGACACACTTCATCACCATGAGTGGGTCTACCCTAGTGAGTTGCTGTATACATAGGCAATGTTGACTTCTGCCGTCATCTATCGGGCATTTCAGCACTCAGTGTCACATGTGAGGCATCTTTAGATAAACCATTCTCCATAGGATCTTCCAGAGTCCGCTACGAGCCATAAGATAGCACCCTCTTTCCTCGATGTTCCACTTTCCGGATGCGACATTTCCGTGATCCCAATCCTAATTGAAGCTCACCGATCAAGAGTGCAAAAGAGCCGGTCGCAGTTTTGACCAAGCCCACAGACCAAGTTTTAACAACAGCATTACGAGCTCCTTATTAATGGAAGATTATATCAAAATATAAGCAAGGGCTGGATGGTTCGCTCCAAAGTGGATCTACCCGCTTCGATTTCCTATATTCTGCCACAGACGGACAATGAGTCCCGAAAGGTAAGGTATATTACGCTTTCATAGCACATATCGAATTTAATACAGCGTATAGTCAGCACTCAAGTCTAGAGTTATCTCTGCTTTCATCTTTTTATTCTACTACTGCACGTGACAATGGTATTCTTTCATTTGGGGTAAACACTTGAAAGATACGCTACAAAGCAGCCCACGGATCTTATCAGAGTCTTTCCCGAGTAAAAATAAACACACATCCTCGATAAGTTTATGCAATCCCCCACAGTCAACACCATTATGGTGTCACCAAGCAGCGACACCGACTATTGGACCGCCGAAGAAAAACTCGGAGACATTGACAGCAGCAGCGGTATCTCAGCCTCCCAAACGACAACGCCCGCCAAGGGGGCCAGCAATACCCCGTTCACCAGCCTGGATCATACGGTAGCTACAATGAGTCGCGCCCCTCCCTCCTCTTCCAACCGTGCGACCCGCCAGATTAGCGATGAGCGTTACGCGCCGACGATCGCAGAGTTGCGATGCTTGCCATCTTCCTCCTTCACCTTCCCACCTTCCTCCAGCCCCTTCGACATACAACTCGATGGACGCCCTATCATCCGCCACCTCACGATCTGCGATAACTGCGGGGGAGTTGGACACCGCTGGATGCACTGTCTCCGCGCCTGCTTCTTCTGCAAGCGGCACGAGCACAAGGCACCAACGTGCTCTTCGGTAGATATGAGTTCGGGACGCCAGAGCGGGAGTGCTAGACACGGTGCTGAGTCCTATCCGAGCTATCAGGTGACAGCTGCGTACCGGGATGCGAAGGAAAATGGAGGCACAGATTCAGGTAGCCCCTAACCTTGGCGACGGATGGCGCTGGCGACCTTGGTTTCTGCTCCTCGGGAAAGCTATCGTTGGTATTATTCCTGAAAAGGATACAATACAGTAAGGGGATAAAGACTAATCAGAGATACGAGGAAAGGCTTGACAATACATGTATGTCGCAAGCAGGCGGCCGGCAAAAAACAAGATTCAAAGGCTCAACGTGATCGTATATGTGCTTGATTCGTACCGCACACCCGAAGCTTAATACTCTGCATTACCTCTAATAAATCAATTTCTCATCCATCTAAGGTGAAATGTCCGCAGGCCCGCAGAATTATCGAACAGAGCATCGAGCCCGTCACCTGATTCCCGACCCGCTTTCTCGCTTAACTTCCCGGCCTTGTTGACTCTCGACTTTCCGAATCCGGAAAAGTAGGCCACGGGCCACAGTTTGTTGCCTCCACCAAGCTATTTGGTTCGATTATAGCTTCGGAGATGTTCGCCGGTTTCCGATTCACAGTTTTCGAACACAGGCCATGTGAACTGATTGGCGGTCTGTATTTCCGCTAGGAGACGGGGGCTTAAATTAAAGCCGCGCATATATATATAGCCCACACTCACGTCAGCCCTCCAACTCTGGATCCTCTCCCCCAACTCCCTTCCACATTTACGATGCCGCCCGGCTGTCACATAGCCAACCTCTGGACACTGCTCCCCGCCGGGATTCTCCGTGTAAGCGGTAAAACAATTGACAAGGGGGTGATAAGGCAGATCATATCGTTTCAATTTTGGGCTTTTTTTTCTTTCCTTCTCCGGAGCCTTCTTATTTACAGGTTCAGAAGCCACAGGTATGGGCTGTTTGATACTCATTGTCCCCCAGGAGAGTGGGATGTTTTCTTTCGCGTAATCTGCTAGCAGACAGACCCTCAGGCTCGAAGGTCTGAAGTACTTGACATAAAAACGCCCATCCAGCTAGAAAGCAAAATTCACAACCCCCGTCACTTTGAATCCATCGAAATATGAAATGCTCTATATCCTATTCCCCCCCCCCCCGCGAGTACAATTAGGCGATCTGCTCCAGAGGCCGGTATGTATGCTCTGCGAGCTACCCGCTACCCACCGCTATCCATGTCAATCCAGGCGCTTTTCTACCCCCCGCTTGATCGTCTCCCGCCTCTGCAACCCATGCTTCAAGCCGACAATACTGCAATCCATCGTCCTATGTCCATCCCCTTCGCACCTTCCGCACCCCGCCACGCATTCCATAAACGAATGCCCCTTCCTCCCACAATTATAGCACAGCTTCTCCTCCTCCTCTCGGTAGGCCAAGCCCCGTACAGCAGTGACCGAAACAAATGGCAAACTCGGCTCTCTCGTCCTGGTCGAGGAGGAAGTAACCTGTCGCAAAGGGAACAGCTTTTTGATCACGTTGTTGGTTTCCTTCTCCGTAGCTTCTTCTACCTTAGGCTCTCTGGCATCTCCTCGTACTCTCAAGGGCCACAGGCGTCCAACTTCATGTCCTTGATGATGATTGTGTCCTCTGGAGGATTGCTTCGAGGATTGTCTGGATGCGTAATCATGTTTAGGTCCAGGAGACCAGTGGTCGATGATGGGTAGCTTTCTCGGCGCCTGAGTAGGCGACCCCTGGCTTCGGTAGGTTGTGCGACGTCGTTTGGCGATCGGGCTGGTTGGAGAGTCGAGTTTATGCGTTCTCGGCGGGCTACTTGGAATGTTTTGCGTGCTGCGCTCCGAGCTAGAGTATTGCGGGACTCTCATCATCGCCTTGGGCCTTGAAGGAGTGGTAGGTGGAAGGGGGCTGATCGTTTTGGTGAGGGAGCGAGGTATGGGAGACTGTTGGTATTCAAAAGATGTGACGGTCAATCCGGGCTCGAGTAGCCGGGGAGACGAAGTCTAGAGTGGAGGCGTCAGTACAGGTATTCAATCTAGGCTCTTGATGCATACCGCTAGGGCCATTTGGCCTGGTGTTTGAGCAATTTTGTTGGTGTGGGATTTGGTATTGTCGGAAGACGATGATGATTGCAGAAGTACCGCCTAGGTTTGAACTTCGAAATTGTTCAAAGAAAGAGCGACGGGTGACCCGATTCACCTAGCTGTTGACGTGCATTCATTAGACCGAGAATCGAGACGTGAACAAAGGTGATTAACCGTGAAAGCTGGCTACCCAGGAAAGATAGTGAGGATTTTTCGGCCTCGGCTTGACAAAAGTATATAATAATAATGAAGAGATTATACTTAGTTTCCAACTTTTCATAGAGTCAAACGCTTGGAATTCATAATCCTAGGGTCATTGGTGAAAAGCAGCTGTTCTGCTACTTCTCCCCCTGTCACACCAACCAGTAAAACCTATCTGATGTACTAGCCATCGCCGAGAGACAGGACAGGGACAGTCCCAGCCGGCTTTCCTAGCATCTCTAGCCCTATGCTGACCACCACGACAGGTGTAATTTCAAGGTTTAGGGAGTCAAATAGGCCTCTTTCAGCAAGGTAGATGAAGACGTGGCGAAGAAAACCTCACAATGGGAGACGATAAGTTCCATTTGATCGGCATCTTTCTGGTTTCGTGTCCTCTCTCAATTTTCTATCCGTGTTTGGATCTTTTTTTCTGCTTTAGAACGTGATATGATAGCGCAAACTTCGCGGGCACCTCTGTCCGGACACTTCTGTCCGAAAAATCCCATATTTTGGTTCGGCGGGGCGACTAGGCATCGTAGAGTTCAAACAGCATTGTTAGAGCTGGATCCTCGGTCTGCCAGATTCACTTCTAGTCTTTTTCCTTCTTTTTATTTCCCATACCATTCCGATCAATTACCTGCTGCCTATTAAAACCGGTTATTCGAACCGTCAAAAACGCTTAGTACCTTGCCCGCGCGATGTGACCAAAGTGAGGATCAAACACAAAATTGATCATGAAGCCGAATAAGTAGCGCAAAGAGTTGATGAGAATATGAGGCAAACATAGAGTGATATGACGTCTCACTACGGCTGAATCTCACTGCCAGTGATAAAATAAGTTCCCAGACTCTACAGAACAAGATCGAAACCTTCCCTTATTATAGCGCTGGCCTTGGAAACCGCCGGCCTCAACTTGGTCGATAAATCGTACGCTATTCCCTCCAATCAGATCATCATCTTCAAGGCTATCTCTGTAGCTTCGTAGCCTAAATACTCGTTGGCTTTAATTTTTGGGAACCCAATGATTCCCCGAACTGATGCCGAGAACTTTTTTGGAGAACCTTCATATATCAAAATGATGCGAGGGTATTTCAACCAGTGGCGCAGGTACAATGGTGTACTTGTCAGGTCAATCTGGCGGGAGGATCAACAACCTGTAACGATTTGGGGCCGAGTGGTTTAGAAGCACCGAACCACACACGACAATTCGATACGACAAAAGATGTAGGCATTCGAAATCGGGCTGAACTTTTTAATACATTTTTCATATTTTTCCCTTCCCTTTTTTTTTCCAACTTTTTGTTCCCTCCTTTTTTTTTGGTCGAGTTGTTATGATTCGATAGCTTTTAAGCGAGGAGTGGTCAATTGGCAGGGCCGTCGGGACTCGGAGACGTTATACTTCAGTCGGAGGATTAGAATTTTCCACATTACTGTACTGGCCCCACTGTCTACTCAGCGATTATGTATATATATATATATATCCTAGATCTCCAACCGCCCCTTCGTCTCCCCTTTCGCAAACCCGTCCACGAGCCTCTGCACCAACCGAAACATCCTGCACCTCAATATAACCCTCCCCATCCCCCGAGAAGCGACCCGGGTGCCAGAGCGGGTGCCAGCGCGACCGTTCCTTCCGCATCCACCTCGCACTCCGCAAGCCACTCCCTCAAAACAGCGTCTCGATCTCGTGATGACACACTCCCAGCTGCACCTCCTTCACGCAACCCCTCGTCCTCTTACACGCGCCCGTCACGAACTGCCTCGTTGATGAGAACGGCAAGCGAGCCGTCTGATCGGCGAAGAAAGCCGTTCAGGCTTTCGACCAGGCCGTGTATTCCTCCGTCGCCGACGTCGAGGAGATGATGGCGTTGATCGTCTCCCAGATACTCGCTTCGTCCGGACTTTTGAGCGTGGGGGGGCCGGGTCACACGTAGTATCTACTCTTCGGCTCGCGCGTTAGAGGGAATAGGTTGCGACGGCGGCGGGTTGAGTAGTCTGTCATTCTCGCCTTCTCCCTTGGCCCAGCGCCCGGCGTTGATGGCTTGACGATCCATCCACGGCCGCCCGGACGATTTATCCATCCACGTCCGCCCGAACGACTTATCCCTCTTACCCCCATCCGGCGACGCAAGAGGTGGGTGCCTTGAACGATCTCGCTTTAGGGAATTTTTACTTCAGGTCCAGGCTGCCGCTCATGATACGAGTCGACGAATCTTGGGGACGGCTTGTCGAACTGCGCCCAGTAATCGTCGGACGTCTGGTAGTCGCCCCATTCTTCTCTGTCGCTGGCGTCGACAGTCTCTTCTCCCCCGTGAACGTGAAGTTGCGGGATGTCGGCCTTGTCGTTGTGCTCAAATTGCTGCCAGTAGGCTTGTTCGGTGGCGTGGCCGCTCCAGTCTGGCGTTTCGGTGTCAGGAGGCTCGACTTTGAGGATGAATGGCGGACCTTTCGCATCGACCTCTTGGGACTGCTCAAAGTGCAGCCTCGTTCTCGCCGAGCTATCATCATCATCCATCACCACGTCCTCGTCTTGGAGTTCGCGCGGAGTCACCCCATCGACGGGGGTGGATTCGTGTCCAAACTGCTGCCAGTAATCGTCAGCAGTCGCACAATCTCCCCACTGTTCCTCGTCATGGACCTCCTCTTGTGGGAAATCCTTCGATTTGGACGCTTCCTCGCCATTTCCTTCTTTCTCTTCTTCTTCAGAATCAGAGTTCCCGAAGAGCTCTGCATTCAGCGCCGCCTCCAGATCGGCTTCAAGATCCATGCCCGCATCATCTTGGGTGCTTGTCGCGGGTTGTGGATCTCCGACTCCCACTTCCGAGTTCCGTGCGGATTCTCGGGCAGCATCTTCTGGTTCCGGAGACTCAGTGCTACGAACCGACCCGTTGCTCATGATAGATATCAGATCATCATGGAGTAGCCGAGTAGCTCCAGCCTCAGTATTCTCTTTTCTCGTGGCCACTTTCTCAAGCTCCAGCTCCACCCTCTCTCCCTCTTCCTTTTCAATACCGGCTTGGGATTTCTCAACAAAGCCCGGCGTATCCACATGCAACACCAACCCCTTCTTCCCCCGGGGCTTACTACCTTCCACATCCCCCGCGTCTCCTACTTTCGAAGCAACAATAGCACACGCCCCTTCGCCTCCCTCCTCACGCTGCCATAACCCCCCGTTCCAACCCACCTCTTTCGGAACTCCGTCCTCAAACCTAGGCGACAGCTCTTCACCTCTCAATCTCCGCCCCTGGTTCCGAACCTTCCCATACGAGAACCTCTCAGCCTTCTTATCCCCCTTGGCATGATTTAAAAAAGGCTGCCACAAGTCACCCCATGCCGGGATATATCCAAACGACTGTCTCGGCCCAATTCCAATTGCCCTTCCAGCCCTCACACTCTCTGGACTAGGTGCCTCCGAGCGCCTCGCACTAGCACCACCACCGCCGACGCATATCGAGCCAGACGTCGTAGGCGTGAGCGCAAACCGAAGCGTATGCGCAGGTATCACCACCGCCAACGCCGCAGCAGGAACCGCGTTCAAAACCCGCGCACCATTTTCAGCTAAGCAGATTCTTGCTTTCACTGCTCTTGCTAACACCGGCCCCCGTCTCTGTCGCCGTCGCCCTCGTCGCATTACCGCTTGCGTGATTCTCGGCCGGCGCGTCTCGAGGTACAGATATCGAGCAGCAGCAGGAAGAACCGGTTTGTCACATGTACTAGGGAGTGTTTTTGTCGAGAGCTGGAGTCGGACACTTTTTCTGCGCCGGAGAGGAGGCTGGGAAGTCCCTGTTGTCGACGATGATGGATGTTTATGTACTTCCATTGTGTTATGGATATAGATATAGATGTGGTATAGATGTAGATATTTTTTCGCTGAACTTATCGACCAATCAATCACCCGTGCAGAGAGAGAGAGAGAGAGAGAGAGAGACGTAAAGAGGAACAGACGAAATGTTGGAAATAGATAAACCAAAAGAAGAGTGTATTTAATCACGATTTATTCGAATGATGGATGGTTGGTATAGAAAAAATAAGTGCAGAATTGCAGAATTGTATACATATATCCAGGTGTTGATTGAACTTATATCTTGGAACTGAAATTCCTTGATGCGTGCGTACGAACGATGTAGCTCATGCTCAATGCAGGAAGGAGTTGCGTTTCCTTTATCTCTGTCCTGCTTGAATATGTGGACAGGATAGGTACAGACAAAGAAAGGGAAAAAAGGAAAAAGGGCAGGATAAGGGAAACCTGTTCTCTCTCTTTGTTTGCGACTTATCAGCTACGTACAGCGATCCTTTCTACAATCAACCTCCTGAACCACCTGCTACTAGTAATCCCTGTAGCCTTCGTGACACTGATTATGAGAACCTCCGAACAGGCATAATCGCAATATCACTATCATGCATCCAGCATAGAGATTTCTTGTAGGATATCGGACCGCTGCAGCTAAAGGCACGAGAATGAATTGATTTTATGAAAGAATTCGGGATAATCGGTCACTAGCAGGTCAGGGACCAACTTGTCAAAAGTAGCCACGTCTCCGAAGCAATCAACAGATCTGTTGAAGTTAGTCTTCTGAATAGTAACCAAATAAAGGGATCATACTGGTAGAATTGGCATTTTTTGCCGTAAGTGTCGAGAGACTCCGTCAACCGATAAGAAACAGGTTCGATATTGGCTTTCATTATGGTAAGCTTCGTCTTTTTTGAAGATAAAGAAGAGAACCCTTACTACAAACGCTAGGATCAGCACGAAAGTCCATGCATTCGAAGTTCTCAACACTTCTGCATAGTTGGACGAACGCATTTCGATTACCAGGCTGGGGGGCTGCTACAACGGCAGGAGATACAAGAGTGATTGCGACGGCGAAGGCGTTGATAAACATCATCTTGATAGAATGATAGAAAATGAACTGCTTGAGTTGGTTGTTGGAATGGTAGAAGATGAGCTGCTTGAGTTGGTTGTTGGAATGGTAGAAGATGAGCTGCTTGAATTGGTCGTTGGAATGATAGAAAAATCGAGAGGAGTTTCCAGCATGATTTATATCCTCGTTCCGAAAAACCTAAACTATTCTAGACTTCGATTTATAATTTCGCTCCTCCGTCGCAAGTGAATAATATTTTGTGCTACGTAAATAGTACGAGTTAACAAACTATACTTTTACGAATTAGCTGTACATGACGGGCCGATCGTTTCGTATGCCTGTACGAGGTGCCTCCTACTCAGGTTTTCCAGAAGTCTGAACCACGGGAAGAGAAGTGGAGTCATCTTTGGCGGTGATTTCTCCATTTATTATAAGATCTCAGCTCTCCTGTTGGTTGCTTTTCCCCTGTCAAACTGACCCTCTTTTTCCGTGGTTCAGACTTCTGGAAAAACCGAGTACGAATCTTGAACCTTCAGCTCTTTTCCACGACAACTTTAAATCAACTCGATACGTAGTACTTTCGCAACCGCGCTGCTCGATATGCATTCGAGAAACGGACTTCTAGCTTGCGATACGATCGATTCTAACGACGGAAATAGTCTCTGGGCTCAATCTTCTGCCCGGTTTTCCGGGTCGATTGTCTCCAACGCCTCGAATGTAATGGAATCGTATTCCGCATCCTTTAACGCCTCGACTTTAACTGCCGCTTTAAACCGAAAAAAGGAAATCAATTTTTTTGATGCGTAGATGTCGTATCATATCAATTGCCAAGATCTCCAGAGCACTTTTTGCTCGATTGAAAGCAAGTAAAACTAGCTTGAGCCAAAAGAAAAGAAAAGAGATAAGAGCTACGCTAGAAGAGGTCAGCAATATAGTCATAAAAAGAATAACAACTGGCCTGCTAAGAGAGGCAAGCTAAATGATATTAAATGATCTCCATTCTTAATCCTGTTGCAGTCTATACCTCGCACTTACGTAGATTTCTATTCTGCTAACATATTAGCTGCGCGAATGACTTCATCTGTCCCTCTTCGACCCCCCTTCTCTTTACGAAACTACGGACTTACCTATCAGAATGCCTCAGATCGGAGACACGGAGACACGGAGACATGGAGACAAAGGTTTGTATAAAGCGGCAGGCAAATTTGGGTGTTTGAAGCATGGGGAACACGGTTCCACTTTCTTCGAGGCATCGGAAACAATCGACCGATTTTCCCTCCTTTTTGCCATGGGTACGATCGAGTCTACGAAGCTCTCAATCATCACCGAATCTCTTCCTTCCTCGATCGATTGAGAGGGTTTGCTTGACCTTCCGCATTTTTCCGCCTAAATATCTCTTTACTCGATTCGAATCTCTTCTTCGAGCCGATAAACCGCTCTTTTGCACCTATTCCATTGCTCGAAAACTTACCACGGTACAGGCCTAAGTACGTAGTACGTATAAACAGTAGTACATGAGCAAAGTATAATTTTGCAAGAGCTCTTACCAAGGCTTATACTAATCAATTAATAGGGATTCGGCATTGAGAAGTATCATTGAGCAAGTATTTACATAGTAGTAGTTAGTTGTACCATCCCCCCCACCCCCCCCCCCAATGAACAAATGTCGGACCCAGTTTAGCTCTGTAAATCGTAGAGCGGTGACTTCTGAATGGCTTAAAGCCCTATCAACTCCACTGCACAGACTAAATACTGGCTCAAAGATACTTTCAAGGCTGAATGAATGCTTTTAAGTCGATCGGTTTAAGCCTTGGTAAGATCCCTTGCAAAAATATACTTTCGACATGTATTCATGGGGTTGGGGGAGGGGGGGGGGCGGGGTAGGGGGGAGAGTACTACGTATATGCAATACAGTAGAGCTGATACTACTACCCCCCTACCTATAAATAGTAGTACATAAGCGAAGTATAATTATGCAAGAGCTGTTACCAAGGCTTTTAAACCAATCAATCAATTTGGTAGTATAAGAACTCCGCCTTGAGAAGTATCTCTAAGCAAGTATTTTCGTAGTAGTTTGTGCAATAGAGCTGACAAGGCTTTGAGCCATTCGGAAACCACCGCTCTACGATTTATAGGGCTAAACTGGGACCGACAATCATTGATAAGGGGGGGATAGTACGTAGAGTTTTTAGGTTTTGAGATGTTCCAAAGCATTACGTACTTACGGGACGATCAAAGATCTACCTACGAGCTGTGCTGATGAAACCTGAGTTTTATACCACGGTACAGGCCTAAGTATTACCCCTCGAGGGTGCCTCAAAAGTCTAGTTTCCACTTTAAAACCCCTGGTTATCCTACCCTCGAGGGGTAATACTTACGCCTGCGACGTAGTACGTAGATGATCTGTCGGGAAGCTTCTATTTATAGGAGGGGAATCCAATCCGTCTTCTACTACGTAGATCTTCCGCGAGTTAAACCGTGGTGGGAACTCTAATATGGAGTCTCACACCTTATAATAGTAGTACTATTATTTCACTACTACGTATGTGCTAAGCCGTTTGAAACGGCATGAGCAAAACCTATGCGAAAAAGTCAGTCTATTTAGCTACTACTACCATCTCTACAATCGACGTGATACCCAATTAAACTTCAACCTCTTTGCACCCACTTTCCCCCGTATCTCCCCTTCTTCGTATCTTCCTTCCTCTATCCTGCATTCACAATTCCTTACGTATCCCGTACTCATTTACACCAAGTCATACAATACAATACAAGTATAGTACAATACTACACCGCTTGAGCTTCGACAGCCATAACAGTAACGCTAGCTAAGTATAGCCAACTCTGAAACAAAGCAAAACGTTAAGGTAATGCTCCTTCTTCTCTTCTCTCCTCTTTAGCTGTCCCGGTCAACCTTGTCCTTATACGAAGTACGTAGTACGTAGTACTAAGTACGTAGTATACGCAACCGATCGACCTTGGTATGCATTAACGCTACGTCATTTTCTATACCTAAAGTACTAATAGTGGGCCTTGACGTCGCAACTTTTGGGGCCCTTCCCTAAAGTGGGCGAAAAAATTATGTCCCGCGAAAAAATTATATCCCGCTTCAACGCTAAAAATCGCGGGGAACGTAGACACTTCAACAACACTTCAACACAACATTTTCCATCAAACATTGACCTACGTACCTAAATAAAAATGAGCAAAAAACGCGCGCGCGCTCTTGCACCTCCTGATCTTAATTCTGAATACTAGAAGCTCTTAAAAGCTTCTTAACATGAGCGAATACAGCTAGCATTCGAATGGCTCTTCGAAAACCCTTCCGAAACACCTCTTACTGCAAGTCGCATTCATATAATAGAGAAGCCTGATACTTTAAAGCGAAGATAAAATAGGTATCAAGCTAAACAAGCTCGATTGAAAAAGAGGAAAGCGCTACAAGTAGGGAGGCCTATGGTTCTATCAGCAGCATAGCACAAAGCTGTTTTGATCTACGCCGCAGATCAAGCAACTAAAGGAAGGAAAGGAGCTATTAAGCGTATGCTTTATCGATGCATTTGCTACCTTAAAATACAAGAAAATAAGCTAGAACCTTCTTAGCGTTAGTTTCAATCTTGGTTGAGAAATACAGCAGAACTCTATGCTATACGGACCAAACCAATCGCATCTCATCGCGTCGATATGCATACCGAGAAATCTCTCTCCAACTGGTTCTATACCGAGCTTGTTCCTGCTATCTAGTTCTGCGGAATTAAGCCTAAAGATAGGCATAGAATCGCAAATATAGATGAGAAAAGCGCGCGGATTTGTATGCCGGCCGGAGAAGAAGTTATCGTACCTATCGGAATCAAAGAGATGTATACAAGAATTTATGAAAATCGACTATCCGTAACTGTGATCGAAGCTATTCTTGCCGATGGAAAAGCTATTCCTCTAATGATTATTATGCTCGGAAAGCAAATTATAGCGTCTTAGTTTTCCGAAAAGATGACTGGACATGAAGTTGTCATTGTTTCCGAATCCGATTATACGAACGATAGGATTATTATAAAGTGGCTTAAGCACTTTATTAAGCATACCGATTAAGGACCCGATAAACCGTAGATGATATTATTACTTGATAGTCAGCTTTGCTACGAAGCTTTAAATTTCATTCTACTAGCTAAACAAAATCGTATATAGCTTATCAAATTCCCTTCTTATCAAACTCATTTTTTACAACCTCTCGATGTCGGCTGCTTTCGCACTTAGAAACATAATCAACAATGTGCTATCATAGATGCTATTCGAGGCTTCGAAGCTAAATATACTATCTTATCGTTTATGCGAGACCTTCCTCAAATTCGCGAGCAAACCTTTACAACTCGGAATATCAAACACGCTTTTCGAGATGCAAGAATGTGGCCGATCAGCTTTTCTCAAATTCAACGCAAATTAAAAGAGTATAGTAAAAAGAGTAAGAAAGAGGCGGGATTGCATATACTCGAGTACGGAGAAACGTCTGATCTTAAAGAAGATGAATATTCTTTTTCAATCGATAAGCAACCTAACGAATTACCTCTTCTTGCGCTACCTCGACCTCCTTAATCTTTTCAAGATTGCGTAAAGCAACTCGACGATCTGAACGATAAGATCAGAATAGCTCTTTCTTCTCTTAGCCGCTAACGCTTCGATATCGCGAAACAAGGTACCGAGACTTGGTTATTACGAGGAAGCCTTGATCAAGCAGAACTCGATAAAAATCAAAAGCTTTAGCGCGATACACATCGGAAAAAGCTGATTGAAAGGTCGAGTTTGCAAACGGGAAGGAATATATTAGCTTCTAAAGCACTCGAAAAAGTCAAGGCTATAGAGATAAAAAAGCAAGAAGCTAGTCTTAAGATAGCGAACGCTAAACTCAAGTCAGCAACGATTAAAATTCGAAACGATCGTTATAATCAAGGAGTTCTTGATCGGAAAGCCGAAAAAGAGCGAAAGAAATGGTTGAACGAAGCGTATAAGCAACAAAGTCGAAGGATTCTTATACACATTCCACCCGAACGAGAAGTCTTTATTCGAGACCGCGAAAAGCAACTTATAGCAGAAGAACTAGAAGCTGATAATATTAATTTGATTTCTTTTCGAGATGCAGTTGCAAACGAAGAAGCTGCGTTAAAAGAAATTTAAGAAAGAGATCTTGCTACATTCGCGGACCCTTCGTATTTAATCGATCTTTAAATCCTTACAAAGGAAAAACGCTTTCGAATCAAACAAAACCTATTATCTTGCATTCAAATTAGCGATGACGACGAAGATGAAAGATTAAATACCTTACCTTCGTCTCCTTTAGCAAAAATGATGCTTACTAGGTAAGAAAAGCCTGAAAAAGAGCTTGAAAAGAAAGAAGATTCGATATCGATTCGATCTATAGCATCTTTTAATTCAATTCAAGAGACACGCGGTGAAATAATTTTTTCGTAGCTTAATTGAGAATAAATAACATTATTAAATATATATATATATATATTATTGCAACGTTGTGAGCAATGTTATGAGCAATATAAGTGTCTACGTTCCCCGCGATTTTTGGCGTTGAAGCGGGACATAATTTTTTCGCGAGACATAATTTTTTCGCCCACTTTAGGGAAGGGCCCCAAAAGTTGCGACGTCAAGGCCCACTATTATACTACTAATACGCTTCAAACCGATGTCAAGAAGATGTAACCCTTCAGCCCGGCCGCAAGCTAAACTCAAAACTTGCGGCCTTCCGCAAACTCTGGGGTAAGTTTTCCGAACTTCGCGGTGTGATATTCGCAACTACTACGTATAATAAATAAGAGCTTGCTTCTTTCAGCGCGAAGCATTTTATCTATAGCAATTGCCTCTTTTAAGGCGATGCAGCGAGCGGTTTTTCGAGCGTTTCTCTTTCTATTGTTAATTCTATTATTAATTTGCTAGTAATCAAGTATTCGGAAAGAGAAAAATTGATAATCGTAGTTCTTAACCGCCAAAAGGTGGCTGTCGATTGCAAGAGTGCGAATCTAGCTTATTAAGCCCGCAGAATTCCTCTTTTTTTATTAGTAAGCGATTAGTCAAGTTTAAAATGTTCCTCGATAGCCCAAGCTCAAATCGATGCATTCAATCAACGTCACGGCCGTAGGTCAGGTGACTGCATTTTTAACAGTTTACGGTCTTAGCCAGGATCTACATTTTAGCTCAACATTACATTAGAAGATGTAGATACTAGATAGAAGACTCTGAAGCAAAGCAAAATGTTGATGCTCCTCTCTCTTCTCTCTTCTTTTTAGCTGTCCCGGTCGACCTTGTAAATAAGGCCGCTGGATAGTGATACGTCTATCTGTCTGTGTGTAGTCGTCTATGGGAGAGGGGGGGGTGGGGGAGTTTGCTGAGGCGATGCGATGAGATCTCGGTTCCGTGCCTATTTACTTACTGCCTTTATTCATATTCGCTCGCTCGCATATTGGAAAATAGGAGTTTTGTGGCAATATATGCAATTGTTGAGCCCGCTCAAGTATTCACAGAGCCAGGCGGTCGTTGGTTAGAGATTGAATTTCCATGCGTAGGTGGACTTTACTGTCGATGCAAGTAAGCAGATCCGTATACCTAGGTCAGGGAGACACGTACAAAATGTCCATGCCATCTCGGCGTCTCAGACAAGAAGATACAATTGTCGACCTCCTATTCTTTGGCATCCTTTCTCTCCACACTCAGGGTATTTGAACTTCAACAACCCCCGCGTGCAGTGCATCCTCCTCTTCCACATCCTCCTTTATCTCGCCAAAGACCCCATACTTCCCAAACGCATAACTCAGCGCCGCACTCCCTTCGTCCCTACCACTATCAACAGCCCCCTGCTCCCCCTTCCCAACCATCGGCATTGCACAAACCCTCGCAATAACCATCACATGATGCCCGACCCTAATCAGCCCTCCCCCGGCCCGGTCCTCATCCCCCAACACCCTACACTCCAGCGAGGATTTGACACTTTTCCCCGTGAACCTAGGCAGCGAGCACACCAGCTTCCCATGCTCATAGACTGCCTCATGAGTCAGCTGCCCCTTGCCCGCCGCCTCCCTGAAGATTTCCTGCAGAGCCGGCAGCCGCTTCTTAGACAGCCCGGGATACACAGCGTTCGCGAAAGCAGCAGCCATAGCTGCACCCTCGGTGTTCGCCTCCAGCACATGGATGATGAAGTACCGGGTGCTGGTCAGCGCGGACAGTGTCCGCGACGGGCTTCGGATGTTAAAGGTGACGTGCGGTGTAGGGTGTAGCGTGACAGTCGAGAATGATGACAGTGTCATGCCACAGTATAAAGAGTGATCGAAATCGCTGGACGGCGAGGTTTGAACTGGGTGTGTAGGAGGAGCGGCTGCCACGGTGGTCAGCACGACGACGGGGTTGGGGACGGCCCGCATCATGTGGCGGACACCGTCTACGAGATTCTGAGCGCGTTTGTTGGTGTTTGTATCTCGCTCGGAGGCGACTGAGCGCTTGGGGGAGGGAGGGAGAGAGGTGAGGAGTTCATTATAGGGGTGTAGTTTGCGGTCGAGGTTTAGGGCGTGGGTTCCTTTGGGAGTGGAGGGCACATCAGAGTTTCGTGAAAGGGTTGTATGTATTGGTCTTCTAGATTCTGCAGAGGGAGGATAGTTAATGTGATGTATCTGGACTAATTGATCGGAACACTCACCTCTCGCTGCCCCAGTATGTACACATCCAATTGTCGACCAACGATACCAAAGATCAAAGAAGCGATTCTCCGCTATGCCCACATTACTCCCAGCCAGTATCCTTCCATTCCGAGAAAGCATTGAGCTCTCCACGGATATCTTCACAGGTATTCCCTGATCCTTGGTCCGAAGTTGACGTTGCGCGGTGCCGAAAGATGCGACTGGCATACCGGTACTTTGCCGTATGGTTATTTCCAGGTGGTCCAAGCTCAAAATACTTCCAGCTCCAGCTAGAGCTCCTCCTCCAACTCAGCACCACACCTCCTTCAGCGTAAAACAACCAAACTCTACAAAAACCCACCACAATGGCTACCAAAATTCCCACCACCACCCTCCGGCGGGCCTCTCTCCCCTCTCACCCCTCCCATATCCACACCTGCCGCACCCAACAAACCCGGCACGCCTCTCTGCTCAAACGCCCGCACCGTCCCTACACCTTCACCCAACTCGTCACCCTCTCAGACGGCAGCACCTATATGCAGCGCACCACGTCCCCGGCGCCCATCTACCGCAGCACGAAAGACACGCGCAATCATCCGCTCTGGCAGCCGTCGCTTGACTCCCTGCGGAACGTGGAGCAGGATGATGCCGGTAGGCTGAAGGCTTTCAGGAAGAAGTTTGGGCGGGGATGGGACGCCGAGGCGAATTTTGAGGAGGGGGAGGGGGAGAGCGAGCGAGAAGGGGGATTCATGGGTGGGGATGGAGGTGATGGAGAGGGGAGTCTGATGGATTTGATTAGTGGGGGAAGTGCCCAGGTGCTGGGAAATGGTAGGGGCGGAGGGGTTGTTGCGGAGAGTGAGGTGATGCAGGAAATGGTTACTGTGAGGAAGGATGGCGTATTGGTGAAAGTACCGGCTAAGAAGAGGGCGGGTGCGAAGTAGGGACGTTAGGCGTTGGCTGTATACTGGAGTGTATGGAAGAGAGAAGGCGTCAGAGGGACGGCCAAAGTTTGGCAGGGCGGAGGAATAAACGCAACATGGCTGAGGATGGGGATGGCCGACCCCGAGTGGGCCGTCTGCGAGGAATTGTAAAGATATGTCCCAGCAAGACTATCGGCAGGGGCTGTACAAACATCAAGGGGAGTGTGGGAAGGCGTTAGAAGAACGGGACTAATCTATGTGCAAAAGTTGCTACATCACAGCCCGACCCGAGTGTCCCAGGCGAGTTCCGTGACATTCAAAAGGTGAACTTTTTCTTCCATTGTTTTTACAAACCCTAATCATCGTCTTCCCCGACCTCAGACCGCCGCTCTTCGCCCGTCGAGGGTCTAGCAGAAGGTTCAACCGGAGGCTTGTAAAACGCCTGGTCGTCCTCTTCGGCGTCCAATTGCATTAAGAACGTCTCCCAAATCTCGATAAGCTTCATCATAATCATGTCAGCTGCAAGGCCAGCCAGGGAGGGGACGTGAAATAAAAATGTTAAGACATACCTCTTTCTGTGCCTCAACAGCACCCTCCAGGAACGTCTCCACAGCACTCTTGAAATCTTCAACCTTTTCTCTCTCAAACCTCTCCAGCTCTCCCCTCATCAAGCGGCCCATATCCTCAAACAGAAGCCTCGCTTGGTGCACCTTCCGCTCAGCATCAGCAACATCGGCATGCATCTGAGTAAGGCGATCCTGTTGGGTTTTGCCTTGGCGCAAAAGCTTCTCTTGGGTTGACTTTCGCTTCTGCATCTCTTGTTCGGCAGTGTGCCAGGAGTGGTATGCCTTTTGTCGAGAGCCGAATGCTTGCTTGATGCTTCCGATCAGACGGATGTACTCGTCGATCGTGATACCGAGCGTGAGGACGTCCTGCTGGGCTTGCCGATCGTACAATTCTTTGACTCGGATTTGCAAGTCCGAAAGACCTTCTAGAGGTCCAGATAACGAAGCTGAGAGCTCCACAGTCGACAGAGCGTGTAGGGAAGCTGAGAAGTCGCCAGCTGCATCGGAGAGTCCTTTCCGCTGGGCTACCACCACATCCATAGCTTTCAGTAGAGCCTTGAGCTGATTCTCAAGAGCATCCAGATACACTCTTCGCTCGTGGAACCACTGCTGAAGTTAGTCTTGCCCCCTTTTTTTTGTGGTAGAGCCCACTCACATCATCTTGCTCTACGAACTTTCCACCTCCACCAACTGAGAGTCCTAGACCACTGAACATCCCCTTGCTCTCCCCCAAAGGCTCTTTTCGCTCCTTGTGCTTAATATCAACATTGAACGCCTCACTTTCCAAGAACAGCTTCAAATCAGCATCATGCTGCAGGGTAGGGTGCGCAGCCGTCTTATTCAACATCCGTTCCAAGGCAGCCCTCCGCGACTCAACAAAATTGGTATCAAATCGGCCCACAGCCTGCTTCTCAGGTGGAGGCGGCACCACAACCCCAGGATTGTTTGCATGCAGTGATGTGTAAAGCCACAGGAAGTCTCGGTATCTTCTCGTAACTGCGAATTCAGGTTGGCGATAGGCTTTAGAAGAGGTCTGCATCCATTACTTAGAATGCAATCCAACAAGTGAGACTGGGTGTCCTTACCTTCGTCCGAACAAGATACTCGATGTGTGAGCTTGTCAAGTCCCCAACCTTGTGCGGATCTCCAACCGTGATATCGAACGTCGGCTTCGCGGCCTGCTCAATGCTAACGCTTGGCTGGGTATCTCTTCTCACGGCCGTCGGCTGTGGTGCTTGTACTGGAGGTGGTATTCTGGGTCCCATAGCAGGCTCAACATCGTCGTTCAGGTCCACAGAGTCCAACATGCTCCGGCTCAGGGAGCTCTGCGACGCAGCCACCGTTTGTCTGACATTATGTGTAAGGACCTGCTCTTTCTGCGGCGGCGCAGGAGGCTCATCGGCCTGTGGGATTGGCGCATTGTCTCCAAGGGGTCCTAGAGGTCCTAGGTCGTCGTCGAGAGCTTGTAGACGGACTTGTTGGGTGACTGGCCGGCGTGGGCCTCGCGGGTTACGTCCACCGGGCGATTTCCCTGTCGAGGAGGTACTGGAAGGCCTGAGGGAGGAAGAAGAGGGCTTTGAATCGGAGGATTCTATATCGTCGTGTCAGAATAGCCTGTGGACCTCGGATAAGTCCTAGGGAAGCTCTCGTACCCGTCTTCCCTTCAAACCCTGGGGTATCAGTTGCTGTCGCATTCGAGGGCACGTCTGCTCCAGTTAGAATCGGGAATAGAATATAATTATCCCAGATAACATCGACTTACCGCCCCAGGGCGAATGTCCTGCTTCTAAGTCCATGGTGTTGTGGTGGTCAAAGGATTAGAGAAGAGGTTGGAGCTCTGGATGGTGGAGCTGGGTTGATCGGCATAACGGCGATCAATTCCGTGCGCCAGGATTTGGATGAAGCAACGACCAACGGCATCCGGGCAGGGAGTCAAAATTTCACTAAAAGCTGAGCGATACTTTCTTCAACCTTCAAAATTATACTTCGCGCATTTGAGATGATGGAGTGGATAAAATATCGTCCCGCTGTTCTCTATTTATCATTTCCAACACATACCTGCCAACGTCACGGGCGAGATGCTGGAACATTGGAGTCGCAGACATGAAGTCACCAAATCATTGATGCCCACTGTTTATTGCTGAGCGCGGAAACTACGAGCCGCCCAATTTGATATCAGTTCCTGTTCCTGCAATCAACGCCTCGGATTCCCGCGCCTGGTCTGGGAAATAATGCCATCAGAAACAATCCATCTAAGGTAAGTAGCAACCACCAGCCATAACCAGATTCATCCTCGTGAACTTCACTTTGTAGACTGGGCTCTTCTTCGTAGGGAAGTTACTGATCTGATCAGCAGTGATCATCGTCTCCTTGCCCTTCTTCTTTCCCCCAGCAACTGCGGCCGCAATTGACGGCGCACCTACAACAGTACCATTGATACGGGTTGCATCAGCCTGCCCACCGGTGCCAATGACCTCCCCCTCGGGTTTCTGTGGTTCTATGGGAACCTCGACGTCCCAGATTCGGACGCTGCCATCGGCTCCTCCAGAGACAAGTACTGTAGACTCGACGCTGAAGGAGAGAGACCATATCCCACCCTTCCCGTGACCTCTGCATTTCTTGATTTGTGTGCCCTTTTGAAGATCCCAGAGAATGATATTTCCATCACCATCAGCAGATGCTAGAATCTTACCACTAGGACTGCACTCGAGCGCGCTGATGAATGCGTTGTGGCCGGTAAAGACTCGAACACATTCTCCGGTCGTGAAGGCCCACATGCGAATGGTCTTATCTACTTGATCGCTTGCAGAGAAGACGTACGCGCCGTTGGGATGCCAGGCGATCTGGTTGACATTGGAATCATGACCAACCATCAGACGAAGATATGTGATGTGATCCTGGCCCCAGACTCGAACAGTCTTGTCCCAGCCACAGGTCGCAAAATAATGACCGAAGGGGCCCCACTTAACATTCCATACTGGTCCCTCATGGCCTTTGTATACGACGAGGCATGTCCAAGCTTCAAGAGACCAGAGGCGGATGGTTTTGTCAGATGACGAGGAGAGGAGTAGTTTTGGGGCGGTCGAAGGTGTGAGATTGTTAGCGTTTTCGGGTCCAGAAATAGAAGGTGAGAAGCTGACGCTGTAGACTGGAGCTGAATGTCCAATCAGACGACGTGAGCTTGATGGAGGGGCGTCGTTTGAGGCAGAAGCTACAATGGAAGGAAGGGGGTCGCCATGAAGATGCCAAACCCGGACATAGGACTCCTCGGTTCCGACGGCGACGAGGTTGGTGTCATCAGAGAATTCTATGCACGTGATACTGTAGGCAGTTAGGAACCCCTCTTGACCTGCAAGACCCTACCTGAGGAAAGCAACTTACGTATCAAGGGTATTATGAAAGGTAAACATGCAGACAGAGACTCCGGGACCAACTCCGCTGCTTCGCGCATCAATGCGGAATCGATCTCTGTTCTCTTTGATCTTCTGGACCTCCATAACCACGTCTCTGGCGCGTGATGGTGGCAAAGGAATTTCATTGCGTGTTGGACCGTCAGCACTGTCCTCGCGTTTGATGTTTTGTTCAAACTCCTCCACAAGTGTATTTTTCCCTAGCGGCGCTGGGTTCCTCGCATCTTCGTCCTCAAGCTCGGCTCGAACGTCCAGTGCCAATTCTGCTTCCATAGGCATCTGGCCAAGCCGAAGTGCAGCGTTATTGTCCATTATATCTCTATTCAAGACACCTGTGAATGCGCCAACTACGCCCTCTTGGAGATCGGCTTCTTCCGTCTTCACCCCTCTTCCATGATTGATGATGGCCTCAAAACTGTATTGGTTGATGGGTCCACGCTCGGTTTCTCGTATCTCGCAGTATGCTGAAAGCAAGAAAATGATGACGCTTCCTCCTTCCTTGGCGCTACCCTCGAGAAAGGTTGTAAGGTGGAAATATGAATGGGTGTTGAGTGGTAGACGGTACTTTGACCCTCGGTAGAGCTTAGCGATCGGACTGTCGAACACATGCTGTGCCTCTTTGATTTTTTCAAATGCCTGAAGCTCTTCGGCGTGGGCGTATTCGAATTGTGGACCGAAGTCTTTGAGAAAATTCATAGCCTCTGTTGTGTCACCGCTGAGGACGATGTCGAAGAATGAGTAAAGAAACATGGGCCACAGAAGCCGGCTCAACTCGAACTGCAAGTATTGTTAGAAGAGACTCGGCCCTGGGAGGAAAGTGCCGTACCTTGTATACATCAAGACTCGATTCTATCCAGTTACTGAGGAGATTGAAGGCGCGAGCGTACTTAGCGGTCCCATAGTCTTCAGCCCGCTCGTGTATAGGTCGCCCATCCTTGTCCAAGTTTGAAGACTCCATCCTTAGCGTCTGCTCAGTTTTGTTGTACCCCTTTTTCAGGAGATATTCGATGACCTGCCAATCCGATTAGATAATGATGCTGCTAAGCTGGCCTGGGTGCATGGGCTAAAAATTAAAATGGCAAGTGCAACGAGATGGCGAAATAAGTGGAGTGATATATAGCCAAAGTCTTAATAAGAACCTCTTTATCTCGTACCTAGGAGAAGCATTATGTCAAGTGAGAGATTGATCTCTTTGATCTCCAAAGGTGGGAAAGGTCTTATGCTAAGCCCATATATCTGATCCACTTGCAAACGGATATAGGACTCGACTTCACCCTTTCGTTGGCCGACCAAGCGGTGCAGGCCCAACGTGATATTCAGGTGACTTCAGGTCATACTCAATCTACCTATTGCTAGGCAGACCCGAAGTACCGCAGCAAGAATATTCCTATCCCGAGAGCCCATTCTGGAATCGCCAACTCGAGTTCGTAAAAAAGCGCGTGACAAACGGAAACCGACTTACAATTTGATTCAGATTCTGCGAGGACATGTTGCCACCTCCTCCCCCACCTGCGGAAGCCTGCGCCTGCCCGCTCTGCTGGTTTGGCATGCCTATTCCAGCGCTTGGAGGGCCATTGCCCTGGCCTTGGGGTGGATGCGACATGATATCTGTCGCGCTCTTCCTCACAACGTCGTCACCTGCAACCCAGCATATATGGCCATCCACATCCCCTGTATCATAAAATGATATCAAATTAGTGGTTCGAGAATGCTGGTACGTCCCGTCGAGTTGGATGGTGCAGAGCCAGTCGTGTTATGGATTCAGGAAGTGATACGTCTGGAGATGGGGAGCAAGACGGAAAGATATAAAGAGACAGGGTTTGCGTTGGCGAGTGGGTCCGCGCTAATGTGGGCTACCCGCAGAGCCGCGCTAGTCAGCCTGTGAATGTCTTCATCCAACCTCGCACCGACATCTATTCATGTTTAACGAACTTTCTCGATCCTCTCACAAAGCTTTATCTAAATAGATAATAGAGGATGGCTACTCCAGCTGAAGCAGAAGCCACTCCGAAATTCAAACCCTTTACAAAGGCGGAGCGCATTCAGCAGCTCAATGACACAGACAAGGTGCTTCCCGCGATACTTCTCTCCCAGACCTTTATTGACATATCGCAGAGCGTACATCTTGTCCTGAAATCTGCCGGGCTGGCACTCAAAACCCTCTCCGCCACCCAACACATCCAAGAAGAAACCACCGACGAGCGCAAGGCTGGCTTTGAAGCAGCCTCTGATTCTCTCATTTCGCACCTCGTAAAGGTTGACATCGGGCTGCGTAGAAACGTATGGGGACTCGAGGAAGCAAGCATCATCGCTCCTGAGAAAGTCAAGAAAGCCACGGCGCAGACAGGCAATGGTCTTCTAGGGAGGTCGAAGCAGGAGGCCGAAGCGGCTGACGTAAGCAGTATGGGCAAGCTGGATATTGGGTGGTTGAACAGCAGGAGTGGACGTGTTGGGAGAGATATGGAGGCTGAGTTGTGGGAGAATTCTAGGAAGTTCTTGGAGGAGCAGAGGGCCGCTGTGAAAGGTGATGCAGGGACCAACAGTGATGCTAAGCCAGTGTAATCATTCTGATACTGCCTCCTTGTCGGACCTATATGCCACTTTGGAGTCCTCTCGTCTTTTAGATCTGGCAGTGGCCTCGACGTCGCAGTCAACGACCTCTTGGGTGCTTGTCTGTGGGTGAAATATCGTGGTAAAGCCATGGCTCCTTGATCACCTCGCCGCCTCTCAACAGTGATAGCTCCGAGCTTGTTCCTCTGGTATCGCTTGTCCAGCTTTCCTAAGAGAGATAGGAGTGTAGAAATCGATCCGGCGACAACCAGAAAGATTGGAAGCGCAAGTGTTTGGTCTGGAACGGTTAACCTCAGCCGGGATACTTTACTAATGTTCCCGGGGAACTGATGAGAGCTTTATTGGCAGACTCGTGACGACTCTCGGTTCAGATACTCCGGGGCTCAGCTGCTGATAATAATGACCTTACGGGCAGAACGCCAGACGCCCATCCTGCAAATATGGAGTTCGGCACTGCCTCGATCTTATTATGATAATGTTCATTGGACAGTAGAGGCTCTGAACAGCTGCTATATGCATTATTGAATGCACGAGAAGCATGCGCGAGGTTGCGGAACAGGGCGGTGGGCTAAGCTGGTTGGGCTGTGTGGTTCTACAACGTTTCCAAAAATGCCGAGGTGAACAACCAACTCGGACAAGGCTGATAGCGAAGTTCCAGAAAATGAACGTTGCGAAGCTTGAAGTCAAATAAACATTGTTGTTGTTGTTGTTGTTGTTGTTGTTGTTGTTGTATTTATTTACGTCGGGCGGGTAGCAGGCGAAGCCTGCCGCCCTGGGACCTCCCATGGGGTACGGCGACGTGCTAAGCTAAGGAGTTACATACAAGAAGGCCCCAGAAAGCAATTCAAAGTGCTGTAGCGAGGGCTACTATCGCATGCGCCCTTCCCCTACAAAATAAACATTGCAGACTCCGGAAATCATATATTTCCAATCTTGCCTCGAGAGCATGGACAGGCGTCATGATAAAAATCTACCTCCGCAACAATGCATACACTTTTATTGGTCGACTTCATTCCGTGCACCGGAGCTACAAATTTATCGAGCGAGGAGACTACATATATCGTAAGTCGGTCCCTTGTTCTTATCCAAGATTTGACTCTTTGACTATGTCCTGATTAAAAACATACATTCTTCTAGGCTCAATGTCTCGAACTGTCTTTGACGGAACTTCAATACGAAACCACAACGGCTGCTGGTTAGGATACATCGTCCTATAAAACGCAGGACTCGAATCTCTCGGATTGGTTAGTCAGGACTGTCCTTATGTTCTCTTCGGACACAGATTATTGGGTGATTGGGAAAGTGACTTTTGACACTGGCTCCATGTACAACTGGATAACCAAGAACTTTTTTTTAGAAAAGCGACTGGGCGCCTCCTACCGCACCTTACCAGGAGGTCGCAGTCACGCATTCGTAGCCTTTTCCGGCCATCTCGTCGTGCCGCTTGGCTTCGTCAACTTGACGTGGTACGAGGCCGATGGAGCTGGTCGCACAACCTACAAAACCCAATCTTTTGTATGCGAACAAGAAGAGCGATTGTTCGATGTGATATTCGGTAGTAGGACCATTTTCCAGCAGAAGATACTCTCGTGGCAACTTAGTACGATTTGGCCCACCCAACGAGCCCAGGCGGGACTGGCGCCGTTGTTCTCAGAAGGTTCGTTGCCCATGATATGCGAATATCTTGCACGCAAAAGACTGATACTCATCCTGATACTGACCACTCCGCCAACAGCCAGGCGCCGCGAAGAGCGACTTCAGGCGCAAACAAGACTGGAACGTCAACCTTTGCAAGACCGTACCAGACAGCTCCGAGAGAAGGTGCGGCAGCAGAGAGCGGACAGGGTCTTTCTCCAAAAAACAGACCCGAGCCGGGCGACTTCTATGAGAACCGTGCTTTCAACACCGAGGCTACCACACAGCGGCTTCAAAGAATTGGCAGCCAGCTCGGCTATCAACAGGAACTCCTACCAACAAGCGAAGCAACGCGGAAAGCTTGGGCTCGCGGTCGCCCAGGCGCCTCTGGTACAGCAACAGTCAAGACCAAGGTGCCGGGGCTAGCCAGGCCCCCTCACCCGAATCAAGAGGCGTCTGCCAACACCAAGTGCTGATCACATATATCCGGAAACTCCGAGAGCAGGAAGGAGGCACAACAATGACCGAGGGCAGATGCAACCTGAGACCAGAGATGATGGATATGACGCCACCACACCAACGGGAGCGATCCACGGACACGCCTCGAGCCAGCCCACGGCCGACGCTGGCTTCCGCTCCAGCACCTCGGGCAATTCTGGAAACGGGACGTCTTACATGAACGCGATGCGAGACACGCCCGCGACCAGTACGAGCCAGCCCGCAGATCGAAATGGTGGCACGTCACCGACTATACCAGCAGCCCATACGGACGGCGCGACGGCGTCAGGCAATGGGACCAAAAGTCACGCGACGGATTCCAGAACCCAAAGGCGACGATTCTGGCCTTTTGGGAGGAAGAAAATCCGGGTTCACCTCACTTCTTCTTCTACTTCTCCTTTCGTTGTTGCCAAGGGTTGATTCTCTATCAACAGCTGTGCTCGATCTACCCCGTATAATTATCGGGGCGGCGAAGCAAGCAGGTATTCGCCGCTCGGTTCGAGCAAGGATGAGTGTTGTGGTTGTTGGGGGGGTCTTTTTTTTTTTCTTTTTTCCTTGGGTTGGAGAGCAACAGCGACTGGCAGTTACAAAGGAAGGCAGCCGCTCGCTTACATTCTCCTCAAGGGCTCTTCGGGACGACATCTTTGACATGACAGGACATAAGAAACCACGCTTCTCGCAAACAAAACTATACCCGACCAGCTTCCAGCCACGATGGGTCTCCCCGATTATGACTGTTGGAATAGCATTCAGACCTTTAGGTCACATGTATGTGGCACGTGCACGCTAGACACACAGCCCTTGGCACCAGCATATAACGCGCCTTCAGAGTCTTGTTTGCATACCTTAGATTTGACGAGTATACTTGGTAAGCGCTACTTGGCATAGGTACTTCTTACTCTTCACCACCTTTGTTTCACCTGTGCTCCCGACAGTGTCTGAACTCGGCTCTCGTCGAGGGTACAAATCGAGAATGTATATTTCGGCAATAATTACCCGTCTCGCTCTCCAACAACGAATATACTCTGAACAGCTCCTCCACATCTGCGATTATGGAGCAGGAGCAGGGACAGGATCAGGACCCAGTGGTTTCACGGGCACGAAGAGCACGTGTGTGTGAGGTGTATTGATTGGTAAGGACAAGACGCCATTTGAATTATTGGCAATTCGATTCCAGTCAAGGGGGTATACATATGTACAGATGAAGGGGTTTTTCATAAGCGAGTTCGTACAACAACAAGAAAAGATTCTCTCCCACACATATATCATCATTCATCGACCGAATCAATCAGGTCGATTTTGAAAAATAAAAAAACACACACCCAATTGTTGCGTCTCTGGTTTTACAAGAAATCAATGGCTTCCGCTTCCCTCGACGACTTCCGAGAATCCCGTCTCCCGTCTGCCCGTTCTGATCCGGCTGTTTCCGGCGCGGAGGGGCGGGGAGGGACGTTTAATCGCACTCTTCGTCCTCTTCCTCTTCCTCTTCCTTGAGCTCGGTGTTGGAGGTGGTAGGGGGCGTAGCGGGAGCGGGCCGGTTAGCAGGAGGCACGGTAGGCGCTGGCTTTCTCGAGGTTACCATGGTGGACGGGTTGCTGGCGACTTCCACCGGCGCAACTGGTCGATCCGCGGGCGGCGTAGCTGGTCGATTCGCGGGCGGCGTGGACGGAGTAGTTCCGGAGCCGCCGCCGACGGTGAAGTCCACGCACGACTCGTAGGTCTGGTCGACGGAGCGCGCGTCCCACCAGTGCTGGAGCACACAATCGCCCGCCGTGGCGCACTGGTTGCCGAGGTCGGACGGGATGGTGACGGTGAAGTCCCGCTGGTCGGCCTTGGGGCCGACCGCGTTCGAGGCGTACTCGGCCCAGGTGATCAGCGGGTCGCCGATGAGGGTGCCGGTGGGAACGTGCACGATGGAGACGTTGGCCGGCCCCGTGTGCGGCGCGGCAATGTTGAAGGTCATCGGCACCTCCTGGCCCGCGGTGTAGGTCTGCACGTTGGCCGAGTTGTCGGCGAACTGGAAGCCCTTGCAGAGCCAGACGTCGCACTCCTCTGTGAAGTCGCTCTGCGAGCGCGCGACCTGGAGGATGCCCTGGATGTTGCCGTTCCGGTCGCTCAGCTGCTGGTTGTAGACCTGCTGGCCGCAGACGGCTCGGTAGGCTTCGCCGACGGGCCGGGGAGTGGGGCTGATGAGGGAGCCGTGGCCGGCGACGGTCGTGAGGAGGCCGGCGACGGCGACGAGGGATGATGAGTATTGCATCCTGGCCCGATTTTTACAGATTCGAACGGGAGAAGAGAGGTCTTTCTTGGGGGATCCGAGCTAGGTTGATGGGTCGGTTGACGGGTGGTGTTGGGCAAGAGACTAGCTTTTGCTCCTCAACGCAATGCACAGCACAGCACAGCAAAGCAATGAATGAAAGGACGTAAGAAGGAGGTGAGGAAAATGAACGTGAGGGTGAGTCGTCGGACCAGGAAAGAAGGGAATTGCTTAAGCAAAGGACAGCCAGAAAAGAAGGTGTTCGGGGAGGGCTTGGGAGTAGGAGAGTAAGCGTTGGACAAGCCAGAGGGGGGCGTATCTTCTTTATATCAGAAATCTTCTTTTCCGCGAAATTAGTATGGGGGGCCACCAATTAACCATGGCGCATCTTCCCTCCTAGAGTGTAGCATCTACAGTACGGAATAGAGTAGCACTCCACTCCAGGGGGGAGGGGAGGGCCAGCTCCGGATATTCAACGTACTACGTAGGTACTACTATAACCGGTTGTTTGGATTCAAACGTTATCTCGTAGACCGCGCGCGGGTAAATAGTAGGTCGGCTACGTTGTTCACTACAGCAATACCTGCTAGGATGCAGGCACAGGCCCCCCAATCTATCCGTTTCTTGTCCTTCTTCTTTCATTGGCATACGATCCCAATCGGCCTCATCTCGTCTGTTATGCTTTCCGCCCCACGCCGACGTTTCGGCTATAGTGTGCAGGGCATCCGAGTTCCGCTCTGCCAGGCGGTTGCCCTCCCTCTCCCTCTCTCCCTCTTGACGACAACCTCCCGGCACCGCACGGAGCTCACCAAGGTCCCTCCCGCGTTACTTTGACCTGGGAGCCGCCCCTGGCATCTTGAAAGAAAAAAAAAACAGAAAAAGAAAAAATAACAAAGGCCCATGTCACGGCCCCGTGCAGTACCTAATCTAATCTGGGCCTGCGCTGTCGGACCGATCGCAGGCAGGTTGGTTAGGGGCTATCGGGGATAAGGGAAGGCGTCTGAGGCATTTCTGGTCGCCGTTTGATAAACTTTGTGTTTCGTTTGGCGAAATACTACTGCGCAGCAAGGAGGAGGAGGACATTGCAGCTATAGATATATACGTGGTGTATATATATCGATGGCGATGGCGATGGCGATAGCGATAGCCCTGCCACCGCGTCTCTGTACACACTGACCAGCTAGCTAGCACGGCCGATTTCATTCTTGCTGTGAAGCACGCTTGAATATACATATATATACAATACATATATACACACACACGCACACACACACACACACACACATATATATATATATATATATATATATATTTTAGTCGGCTACCTACAAGTCAACATCCCAATCTCTCATACAGACCCATCATCCTTCACCTTTCGTGAACCATCTCCGACCAACCTGTTTCAGTCCGAAGTCTGATCGACCCAAGTCCGAAATTGGATGGCCGGTCGCTATCAATGCCGACCGATCCTTTCCTGTATTCCATCCCGATGTATCGTATCTTCTCAAATGGCGTCCACGAGATGAGAGATTAGCAGGTCCTGCCAACGCACACGCAAGGGATCTATCTACTGTTCGTGGATCTTCTGTTCGAAGCGACTCTACGTATCGCAACTGCGTCGAGCGCTCGGAAGAACGTTCCCGCGTCGGTGAGCGACAGGGTCGAGAGACACGTTTAGTCGGTCGGTAAGTGCCATTTCAGTTATTACCAAGCGTGAAAAAGAAGAGGGAAAAGAGAGAGAGAGATATATATAGCAAAACGTTGATGTTAGTTCTGTTTCCAGCGGCTTGTTTTTTGGTTTATTTTAGATCTACTCCGTATCGGTTGCTATAAGTATTGAGGGGGGGAGACCTACAGGAGTAAGTAAGTATAACCTCGTTCCCGATTCCCAGACCTAGAGAATACAAAACCGATCAGTCAGTCAGTCAACCACGCACAACTCTCCAAAGCGCTTCCTCCTGCGACCTGGTATGCCGAGCAGAGAGGTACGAGCCAGGCAACCGAACGGATTGAAGAAGTGCGAGGGCGTCCGGAGAGAAATGGATGCGCTCGCTGGTGATGCGATCGGAGCTTTGCGTGCGAACACTGTCGCTCGTTCGCTCCGGTACTGTAATCGAGATTGAAACTGCGTAAGAATAGATGTGGTGGGTGGTAGTTGTGGTTGTTGTTGTTGTAGGTAAATATATACGTCCTGGGTGGAAAGTCATTTCTGCTACCCCTCGAACAAAGTCAGTACCAAAGTACCCCTCCGCGCCCCCTACCCCCCAACCCGAATGGCTACGTACCGCCAGAGGGTGCCTCAGAGGTTTTAAAATGGCCACGTCCAATCCCCTAGTTACCCTCCCTACCCTCAGGGTGTAACACTGAGGGAGGCACCAGCGGTTAAGTATCGTAACCCTCGTCGAGCCACGGCCACCTTTTTCGAACTTACTACGTACTACGTACGTACCGGTAGTAGTACTAACTTAGTAGATGTACCAATTGGGGTTCCGTTCAAACGAGGGTCTGTAAGACTTCCGTGCCTGGCCATCCATCACGTTACTGCGCAAAGCGGGTTCGAAATGATACCGGTACCTACCGTAGCCGTAGGTCGACGAGGGTCACGACACCTAACCGCTGTTCCGTCCGTACGCCTGCCTGTGACGTTTGCATCGGTGTAGAGATTAGCCGGATCGCATCTCCAGGCGATGCGCATCCAGGTGCGACCACGACCAGCAAGGCCTCAGACGGGGGGGAGGTGGGGGGATTTCGTGGGGTTGGGGTGGGGTGGGTACCGACTAGGTAGGCAGCTTACCGGATCGGTCCGGGTAGACTTCTCTCCGGGACTGTGATTTCGTCGCGCTGCTTCGTGGCCCCGAAATACTACCACTACCACTACGTACGACTACTACAACAGTACCGAAAAAAAGCAGGCCACAGCAGGCCGCAGGATAGGTCTTGATTGCGGTGGGCTCTCTTCTGCTCCGTAGGTTGCGCCGTATGTTCTTTTCCCCCTTCGTTTCCGTGGAGTTGACGGGTCGATGGCGTTTTGCCGTATGTGGTCATCGTCTGCGGGATGCTACGTAGTATCTTGGGAGGAGTACGGTGGAGGGACTGAGCGGCAGGAGGTCCTCGCGGGAGGGTTTTCTTTTTGTGTGTGTACTACGTATGTTACGTACCGGTAGTATATATCCTTTGAGACTGAAACCTAAGCGAGCCGACTGTTACGTACTGCTTGTATTTTTTATACTACTCCTGAATGGCTCGAAGCCCTGCCACCTCCACTGTATAGTCTACATACTGGCTCAGAGATAGTTGTACTTTTCAAAGCTGAATCCGTATGGGCTGATTGGTTCAAGCCCTAGTAAAATCTCTTACGGAATTATGCTTTCGAAATGTATTTATAGGAAAGGGAGAGTAGCGATAAAAAGTATATATACGAGAAATTGCCGAGCCACTTCGCAGTCACAACTATATAAGATAAGCTACTCCTCTTTGTATTTTGATTATTCTCATACACTATCAGTGTAGTGCTCTACGATCTTCTTGTAGGCTCAATTCGTTAGAAACGATCACCTCTATCTACCAACTCCATTATGCGTTTCAATAACAACCTCCTCTTGCTCGCCTCCTTCCTCGGCGTCGCAACCGCTTTCCGTCGAACTTGCAGGCCCGACTTGACCGGCGAGATCACCGGCACCGGCTATTACACTGTCACAAACTCCGACACTTTGCAACAAATCGCGGCTGACTTTTGCAGCGCTCAAGAAGAGATGGATGCCATGAACCCTAACGTCGATTTGAAGTCAGGCACAATTTTAAAAGTTCCTTGCAGAACTCGAAAGCGCGATTGCTCTAGGATAGAGGGCGATTATAATGGGTATTATACGTTCGTCGATGGCGACCAGTTGTCAATGATTGCGGCGGATTTCTGCATAGACGTCAATACGTTAAGGTCTCTAAATCCCGACGCTTCCGAAACCACTTTATCTCCTGGGGAGGTCCTCAAAGTTCCTTGCGCTTGGAACTAGCTACAATAAAGGCCTTATCCGCTCGCTCGCCCCTTTGCTTGTTGCGAGGCTACGATAGGCATGGGATTGGCGACGGAATGGGTTGTGGGTTGGACTCTACTTTAGAGCTGGGATCTACCGGTATTGGGCAGTTGGACTGCTCTTCTTATTTTCTTCGACACCAGGGTTGAGCTCAATATATTTCGGAGGGAGGGAGGTTAGGGGATGGGAACTAGGTCTCTTTGCTACAAAATGTTAAGGACTTGAGGACTTCATTAATCGTCGGTTACCTTGAATTTGATTGGTAAAAAATCCCGACTTGGCGCAGCCAGGTCGGCACCACTAAGGCGGGACACCCAGCAAGGTACGGTAGGACAGTAACAGTATACCACTTATTAAATAACAACTATTAATATAAAAAAGAAAGAAAAAAATTTCATATGCCTAGAAAACTTTGCTTTACAAACTTGAACCAAAATTATAAAAATGCATTTATTTCTAGTGATTGAATACATTGAAATGTAGTAAAAAAAAATAAGTAAAAACTGTCCCAAATAATTTAAATCTACTTGTTTATTGCGAATATCGTAACAATTATAACCTTAATTTTTTTTTAAAAAAAAGGCACATAGATCGAAAACCAATGATTTAACATATTGTACTACTAAAGGTATTAATTATTGAATCAAGGTTGATTGTGATGCACGTATTCTTTTGATAGGTTTAAGTAAAAGTCTGATTTTCGTGTTCTTCGCTTATTCTAGTAAATACGCGGCAATTCTGATATATACCTATGCACTAGTAAAATCGAAAAATATATACGTATATATATATCAAAAGTACCATTTTTACTACTTTAACTCAACACAATAAAAGAATAACAACTTGTAATTAAAATTCAATTGATGGATTAATATCAAGCTCGATACTTTGCGTATTTATATATAAACATAATTATTATATAATAGTTGATTGATTTTCTATTCGTTAAAAAAGAGCAAATTTTGCTGTCCCGCCTTGGTGGTGCCGACTTGCTACAGCAAGTCGGTCAATTCTTTCGAATTAAAATTTAAGGAAACCGACGATTATCAACAAATAAAAACATGATATCGACATAAATGGATTCTCAAAGTGACGTACGTGTCTTTATATATATGGAATTTCGATAACTATTATTGTTAGGACTTACCGCTTCAATAGTGGAGGTGGAGAACTTGTGTGTGAAGAGGATGATATTTCCAAGTTCTCCTTGGTGGGAGAAATCTATGTACTCCCCTAGCGCGCACGTGCGCCTAAGAGGCCTGGTAGCCTCAGGCCATCACAACACCCCTCTGTCGAGGCCTCCAAAAGCTCTCGGCAGCACCCAATTACCACGGTACAGGCCGAAATACTACGTACGTAGGTATTACGTACGTAGGTATTACGTACGTACGTGCGTACAAGTAAATTCTCGGTGCGTCTGGACTCTGGATGCTGGAAAGCTCCATACTTGTAACATTGATGTGGAGTCAATACGCTAAGCGAGTCTCTTCCCCCGACGCAGGACCAGGACCAGGACCGGGACCAGGACCAGGACAAGGGGAGGAGAGCGCGTGATAAGTAAGAAGTGAGACAAGCATCGTCGTTATGCGCCGCGTGAATGCTTGATTTCCGCTGCTCCCGTTTCCGTTACTCTCCGCCTGGTTACTCCACCTGGTACGTAGTACTTGCTGGCTATCCACGGCAGAGCTCTGGGCAGTTGGGTTCAGATGAAGTTCAGATGAAGTGACTGGAAAAAGTGCTTCTTTCGCGGCTTGTACCATAAGCTTTTCGGACCAATCTTCGACTTTGGTGCCAAATGGGCCGACGTGGCTATACAACTTAGCAGGTGGACGGTGATGCGTGGCGTTGTCTGGACTATTAAGAAACAGTCTCGTGAATGTATGCACGTACGATCCCTGTATGCTTCGGATTTCGAGTTGTCAGAAGGGAGAAAGGGGGGAAAGGGGGAAAGGGGGAAAGGGGGGAACGGGGGTAAGTATAGATACACATAGGTACACATACATCACTTCTGAAATCCCAACTCTATCTGCACGGAAAAGAAAGCGAGCGGATAGCATATCCGAGGTTCGAAATACCCTTCGCACGGCACACGATCTACCAAAAGGTCAGATATAGAAATATATTCGGGGAAAAAAATCAATGTCTGTCGTTACCGGTCACGCTTGCAGTGGGTTAGTTATACCGCGTTGCAATATCATATTTCGTATATTCATCGCGCGAGCTTTCTCGTCGACGCGCGGGCAGCTCTCGTTTTTTTCAGATAGTTCCTTTGGGCATGAGTTATAGCTTTGATCGGTCTTGTGTTTAATGCTGTTGCTGCTGCTGCTATTGTTGTTGGCACGCAGTGGTAGCATTCTAAGAGTGCTACCGCGGCGAGGGAAAGGCGGTTGGAGGCCGTGAAGATGGTGCGGAGAACGGCCTTGCCTCATTCAGGCTACTGGGGTAGGTTGGCGGTGACTAGCATGCATCGCCGCGAAGCTCGAGACGAGACGAGACGAGACGAGATGGAGCTGAGGCCGAACGTCTATTGTCATGATTAGTAGCAAGACAGAGTTGATGATCAGGAGGAGGATATATACTACGTATCTGGGTCCCAGCTTGGGCTGCTAGAAGTGGAGGTAAGGACGATTTATCTGCCTTAGTCTACTGGTAGATGTAGCGAAAGTGCGAGGGATTGAGACACGGTGGGAACCCTTCCCTTCTTCCCTTCTCCCCCAGGACTCTCTACTGCACGCAATAAAACATCGTACGTCCATCGCGTTGACTCCAGAAAAGCTGTCGCCCGTCTACTGAAGATATCAGGCCGTTGGGAAACGACCAATTGACCTCGACTCGAATTCCGGAACGTCGCTCGCTCGCGGAAGCCGCCCAGCACGTGAACCTAGCGTAGGGGCTGGGCGTAGACGGGGAGGGCACTCAGCGCGAACGTTCCCTATAAAAAGGACGTTCGCTCCCCCTCTCTCTCCTCTGGTCCTCTGGAGAGACAACGCACGTGAGGTGCTCTTTTCCTGGTTGTTCGCTTCCCCCCAACCGTCCCTTAGAGACTACTTACATAGTCATAGTCTGTTCAGCCTCTTCAGGCTAAACAAATATCAACCTGACAGCTCGATACGGACACCCTTCGGGGGTCTTGGAGCAGTCACAGACGCGCTGGAGGTTCTCTCCTCTCGACCTTGAGTCCTGGTTGCGAGTTTAGGCCTAGCCTGACTCCTACAACTAGCTCATCGGTGCCTCTGTGCCCGGCAATGTGAGAACTCATGTAAGACGCTCTCTGCTCTCAACTCCTAGGTGGTAAAAGTGCAAGATGGCGTTTGGTCCGGATTATTATTCCATCAAACCATATTTGGACTCGAGCTAGACGCCGAGAAGTGAAGGGTCTAGGGAGAGAGTTCTAAACCAGTGGTCTCGTGAGAGGGTATATCGAGTAAATCTGGCATCTAACCAGTGGATTATATTTACCTTCAACTAGGAAGTCGAAGGGAAATGACACCTATAATGTATCTCGGTTAGCTTGTATAGCTAGTATATATGTCGACTGGAATTATATCAAGATTGAATTGAACACCACCAACACCACCACCACCACCACCACCACCACCAGCCGCTAACAACCGCCACCTAGTGAAGGAAAGGCTCTAGCTGACGGGAACTGAACTCAAGAGATGGCAAGGATTCTCGTGGCGCTGAGTACATACTGTTCTGTATCGTCGGTCTAAAAGAAGGGAGCGAGGGAGTAGGAGGCTAAAATGCTGGGGAGAGACGCTGGGAAGACGAGCTGGTACAAAGTTCTATTTGTTTTTCTTTCCATCTTTCTCTCTTTCCCTTTTTTTTCTTCTTTTTTTTTCCACACAGCCAACCGCGAAACGAGGGGCGATGAAGGATCAAAACGGTGCGGCGAGATCTCAGGCTAGGCCCATGGGTGTATCTGAAGCAAACGAAAACGCGCCACGTCTGACTCCCTGTTCTCCAGCCTCTCGTTTCTAGATATAGCTCACTCGACGCGTGCTAAAGAGAGATTCGTCCTTCTCCAAATCAGATCGTGATCCCTGCTCCACGATGACGCTTGTGAAACGCAATCGAGGTTGCATACGTATCTACTGTTGCTAAGGACTGTACAAGTAGTAACAGCGCCGAACTTGGTTTCAAACTGTATTATCGAAGCTCGAAGCTTGTGTAGAAAAGGTTGGGTAGGGAAGCGTTCGTTCGTTCGCCAAGTTATACGGTACGTAGATGTAGAATTCCAATCAAGATACCCCGAGCATTCGAGCTGATTTAATCATTTGGAAAAAAAAGGGGGGAAGAGGGCTTCGATATGATGAGATGGGGGTAAAGAATACTGGAAATGCGGTTGTTGTTGCTGTTGTTGTTGTTGTTCCTTTTGCTTTCTGCGAATAGCTATGCTAAGTACCTTAACTGATTGATACCAAGGATACCTTAACCTTCCCTTCCACACTTAAAATAGATCGGCTACACTGTACCGGTACTCTGTACAGCGGATCCACGACACGACTAAATTTATACGAGCCGGCAAGGTGGCAGACGCACGGTCGCCAAACGGAATCTATTTTCATTTTCAGAGAGCGAGAAATTAGATTCAAGAGGATTGCGAATGTTCTTTGAGAAACGGGATTGGCGACTCGTGGCCGATTCGGCACTTAGGAGTTACTGAATGCACTCTGAATGTCAATATTAAATTGGTATTTTTCCCTCCCATAATGGAAGTTTTTCGGATTTCCTATGATGGGTCTGGTAGATTGGTTGATTGGCCACCGGTAGGTAGATCGGGGGTTGGTAAGCCTCTTCTTTGTCTAGGTGATGCGGTGCCCTAAACGAAAGCGGTGAGAGGCGTGACGGGAAGGAAGTGAGTAAATGAGTTGTTGTTATAGCGTAGCAGATTCTGATAGTCAGTCGAAAGCGTGCCGTAATTATTTATATAGATATATTGGCGGCTTTAGCGAATGGTAAAGTGTCGTTCGGGCGAAGCAGTCAAGGGGGTTAAGAGTCAAGATGAATTCGGCGATTTCAGTTTATGGTTACATGTATACTATGCATGGTGTATCTGGTGCATGTGGTAGCTAGTACGTAGTACGTCCTGAATCAGCGCGACACGGCTTCTTCTTCTTCTGTTTCAAGATAGGTAGTGTGGAGGGGGAGAGCTCCGACATATACCCAACATCAAATCAAGAGATATATATGTATATAGTCATGGTAGAATCGTAGGTGAATAGGTAGTGTGGAGGGGAAGAGCTCCGACATATACCCAACGTCAAATCAAGAGATATATATGTATATAGTCATGGTAGAATCGTAGGTGAATAGGAGGGGAGAGGAAGGACGTTCGAGGACACTCGATTGTGTTCTGTGTGTATGCGTATTGTATTGTGTGATGATGTGGTGCTGGTTCAGGGAGGAACCAACTACTCGTCTATATAGGAGCCTGCACGTGACCTAACCACGTGCCTAGCAGGCCAGAGCATGCGGTGCACCCACGTAACAAAGGTGCCTAGCATCAGTACTATATACATGGACAAAACAAATACAGACCCCCAACTCCACCACAGTAGTTAGGTAGGTTGGAAGCTAGGTTCTGCTGCTCGCCCTTCTGCCTTTCTGTACTTGTTAACGTTGAAACCAATCCAGCCCCACCAAGCCAAACCCAAGAGCATTCGTTCAACTCGACCGCGATGTACATGATGTGTAAATCCAGGCTTGGATGCGAGAGCCCTGACAATGGGGTTGGTTTCTGATCTCCCGGGTGGATCACAATCAGTCAAAGTTGGGATCGTCGTCTGGCTGGTTTTGCAAGAAGGAGAGAGGAAATACCAGATAGATATTAAGAAGGCTTTTTTTTCTGTCTGGTGTGATATACTGAAAAGAAGAGAAAACAGGTGGAGAATTAGCCCGCTAAAAAAGAGGGATCCAGTCAGTCGGCTATGAACCAGGAGAAGAATGTGGATGTAGATGTGACTGGTGGATAATAGCCCGAGCTGCGACTCGTCTGCGTCCAAATTCATGGATCACGAACTTGGATAAATTAACTGGCTGTCTTCTCAGAGGTTTCTGGGGATGTTTGAGTTTGTGTATATATACATGTAGACATATATATTGCGGGAGTGGGAGACGCTTTAAGGTGTATGAGAGGGATAATAGGGCGGAGGGAGGGAGGATGTTCGGTTGTGGAAATGGGTTTTGATGGGGTCGCTGCGTTTGATGAACAGTAAGAATGAGGGTAAGAGTGAGAACAAAGCAATGTAAAGGCATCAGGTCGCAAATAGATAGATAGACAGACAGAGAGATAGACAAGATATGGCAAATTGAAAGAAGGAAGTGCAAGAGATATGTATGTATGTATGTATGTTTCTGAGGACTAGAAGAGCTATTAGCTGCTTGTTTGATAAATGGCATGGCCAGCGATTACTTGACGAACCTGTCAATCTATCCCATTTTTGTCGGGTGAGATTTAGACACGGTAATTCTCTCTCGCCGTATTTCATTCAAGCCAGGAAATGGCTATTCGCATCTGTAGACAGGCCACTGAGAATGAATGGTGTTGTACGGAGTAGAGCGCTGCTCTCAAGAATGTTCTAGCATGTTCTTTCTTTCCTTGGTCGCTGTCCTCACGTGATTTGCTATGCCATCGCAGCGGACTATTGAACTTTGACAAGACGAAATACGGAAAAACATGCAATGAAGAAGAAGGATTGTCCTCTGTAGTCGCGTCGGTGGATTGATATGGATTGAAGGATTGATATGGATTGATTGGTGGCTTGGAAGTGGAATGCAAACAAACGCTCGCTTCTGCTGGCAAAGAGCCACTGGCGAATGGAGTTGGATCTGATCGAATTCAACGAGTTAAATTTAAAATATATTATACAACTTGGATAAATTGATGTGACTCGATATAAATAGGCAATTCTAAAGGATAGGATATAGATACTTAGCTAGCTACCTATTGGTAGCATACCGTAGAAATCAGAATATCACGTGGGTGCATTTTGTGATTGGCTGCATCAGCTCCACCCAGCCGCTAGCTCCCGCCTCCAGCCCAGGCCCAATGTGGCTTGGCCCGTGCGTGCTTCCAGCAGCTTCTTCGAGCCTCTTCGATCTTCGATGTTTGCCGGAGGGGAAGATAAATTCTCGCTCGCGACTTGATCCTCTTCACTTCCACAACTTCAATTCTCCAACCCAACTCTCACGATACCCTAATCCCTCTCGTGCTTCGAGATAGATCTTAATACTTCACTTCACGACTTCACGAACACTATCAAAACACTCAAGGTAAGCTTCATCATCCATTTCACTGCGGCCTGCCAGCCTGCACGTCCGTTTGTTTATTTGGTTACTTCGATCAGCCTCACGGCGACGAGTTCCAATCAGCATCTCTTCTGTTACCCTTCGTGCTCCCCTATTTCCCTCCGCGCACCTCAATCAATCCCCTCTCCACCTCTACCTGTCACAATCCCTCTGCTAACACTTTACCTTTTCCAGAAAGCGAGACACTGCAACGATGGCCGGCGAAACTTTTGAGTTCCAGGCTGAGATCTCCCAGCTCCTCTCCCTGATCATCAACACAGTCTACTCGAACAAGGAGATCTTCCTGAGAGAATTGGTCTCCAACTGTTCCGATGCCCTCGACAAGATCAGATATGAGGCCCTCTCTGACTCGAGTAAGCTCGAGACCGGCAAGGACCTGCGCATCGATATCATCCCCGACAAGGAGAACAAGACCCTCACCATCCGCGATACGGGTATTGGTATGACCAAGGCCGTAAGTAGTTCTCGGCCCCTCTGACAGGCGCTGCTAACCATTCCCAGGACCTTGTCAACAATCTCGGTACGATTGCCCGATCTGGCACCAAGCAGTTTATGGAGGCTCTCACCGCCGGTGCCGACATCTCTATGATTGGTCAATTCGGTGTTGGTTTCTACTCCGCATACCTCGTCGCAGATCGTGTCACTGTCGTTTCCAAGAACAACGATGACGAGCAATACATCTGGGAGTCGTCGGCCGGTGGAACCTTCACCCTCACCCCCGACACTGAAGGCGAGGACATCGGTCGTGGGACCAAGATCATCCTTCACCTGAAGGAGGAGCAGACCGACTACCTGAACGAGTCCAAGATCAAGGAGGTGATCAAGAAGCACTCGGAGTTCATCTCCTACCCCATCTACCTCCACGTCACCAAGGAGACCGAGACCGAGGTTCCTGATGAGGAGGAGGAGACCAAGGAGGAGGAGTCCGATGAGAAGAAGGCCAAGATTGAGGAGGTCGACGATGACGAGGAAGAGAAGAAGGAGAAGAAGACCAAGAAGGTCAAGGAGACCAAGGTCGAAGAGGAGGAGCTGAACAAGCAGAAGCCTATCTGGACCCGCAATCCCTCCGACATCACCGCTGAGGAGTATGGTTCCTTCTACAAGTCCCTCTCCAACGACTGGGAGGACCATCTTGCTGTCAAGCATTTCTCCGTTGAGGGTCAACTCGAGTTCCGCGCCATCCTCTTCGTACCCAAGCGTGCTCCTTTCGATCTCTTTGAGACCAAGAAGACCAAGAACAACATCAAGTTGTACGTCCGCCGTGTCTTCATCACTGATGATGCTACCGATCTCATTCCCGAGTGGTTGAGCTTTGTCAAGGGTGTAGTCGACTCTGAGGATCTTCCTCTCAACCTGTCCCGTGAGACCCTCCAGCAAAACAAGATCATGAAGGTCATCAAGAAGAACATTGTCAAGAAGGTTCTCGAGCTGTTCCAGGAGATTTCCGAGGACAAGGAGCAATTCGATAAGTTCTACACTGCCTTCAGCAAGAACATCAAGCTCGGTATCCACGAGGATGCCCAGAACCGTCCCCAACTTGCCAAGCTCCTCCGATTCAGCTCCACCACCTCTGGTGACGACCAGACCTCCCTCACCGACTACATCACTCGCATGCCCGAGCACCAGAAGAACATGTACTACATCACCGGCGAGTCGCTCAAGGCTGTTCAAAAGTCCCCCTTCCTCGACACCCTCAAGGATAAGAAGTTCGAGGTTCTCTTCTTGGTTGACCCCATTGACGAGTACGCCATGACCCAGCTCAAGGAGTTTGATGGTAAGAAGCTCGTCGATATCACCAAGGACTTCGAGCTCGAGGAGACCGAGGATGAGAAGAAGGTTCGCGAGGCGGAGGAGAAGGAATTCGAGGGTCTTGCCAAAGCTCTCAAGAACGTCCTCGGTGACAAGGTTGAGAAGGTCGTCGTCTCCCACAAGCTGGTCGGTGCGCCATGTGCCATCCGTACCGGCCAATTCGGTTGGTCCGCCAACATGGAGCGTATCATGAAGGCCCAGGCCCTCCGCGATACATCTATGTCCTCTTACATGTCGTCTAAGAAGACCTTTGAGATCTCTCCTCGGTCACCCATCATCAAGGAGCTCAAGAAGAAGGTTGAAGCTGACGGCGAGAACGACCGCACTGTCAAGTCGATCACACAACTCCTCTTCGAAACATCTCTTCTTGTTTCTGGTTTCACTATCGAGGAGCCCGCCGGATTTGCCGAGCGCATCCACAAGCTTGTCTCTCTCGGCCTGAACGTTGATGAGGAGCTAGAGGCTGCGGATGAGGCTGCTAGTGAGGAGGTGTCTACCGATGCGCCGGCTGAGAGTGCGATGGAGGAGGTCGACTAAATGCAATCATGACCCTTTTTGTTTCGTGCGGGATTTTGCGGAGTTTGATAGGTTGGTTTTTACGAATGGTCATTCTCACGTTGCATGAAGCCTGCTTTCTACCTTTTTCACTGGAGGCGCCTCTCGGTTGCGTAAATAAAAATGTACTTTAGTGCGTTCGGTCTCTCCAGATGGAGAGCAGACAATTGAAAATGTTACCTCAGACTGTGTTCTTGTCTTTGTCGTGATGGTGTGACTTGGTGAAAAACGATGAATTCGGTTTCCCATATCCCATGCCGTGTAACGGTTATACATGGGCTCGACTTTGCGGTCGGGGTCTGAAGCATGGTGCTTGTTTAACCATATATATACCTGAGGACATTCAATGCTGCTACCGTCTTCTCGGTGAGATCTCCCCTAGATGTTCCTGGCCCTGTCAGGTAATCAAACAAATAAGTAGCTAGCACTCATCGGCTCCATCCATCTCATCCGTCCTACTCCGTAGTTCCGCAGCACACAATACAATACAATACAATACAATACATTACATTACATACAGTACAACTAACCAATCAATACTCTGTCTGGGCTTGGGGGACGGATGGCCAAACGACAAATATTGTGAAGTGTTTTTCCTCGTTCTTTTCTTTTCTTTTCTTTTCCGCGCAGCTGTTGTTGGCCGGTGGTCCTTTTCCCTTTTTGCGTGGTTGCGTGGTTGCTTGGTTGCTTGGTTGGTTGCTGGCTCATTATTGTTATTACTATGATTATTAGTTTTTTATTTGTTGTTCGTGTTATGCTATGTATGCTATGTGCTTGTTATATGGTGAGAGGGGAGGGGAGGGGAGGGGGGGGAGGCGATGGCTGAATGAATGAAGGAGTTTGACTTTGTTGGCGAGGATGGAAGGAAGGGAAGGGGTGTATGTATACAGGTGTGTGCAGCTTGAGGTTAGGGATTGGGATAGGCATCTGATGCAACTGTCTAGCTGTCTTACGGTTCACGAGGTTTGATTTGGGATCTGAGTTGGCGTGATGATATTGATGACAATGGTGATGGTGTTTCCTTCGTTCTGCTCTCCTACATTATGGTCTGTAATATGAACGGCATGTCGTTCCTTGAAGCTTTTAGTAACAATATCAATATCAACATTCGCTTATCTATATATCTTACATGAACACAACCAACTCTCTTCGCAAACATCATAGTATAATCTGCCGTGGCCCCTTTTTCAACTTGGGATTGTAAGTGGTCATCGATCGTTATTAGCTCTTGTGTATAAAAGGAGGGAACATTGAGTGGGTCAGTGAGCGACCGCGAACGAGTAACTATATGACTGAATGGTGCACGAAGTACGGAGCACGGAGTTGTACTTGTACTTGCACAGCATAGCAGCGATTCGGTGATTCCAGCGGAAAGAAAGGGTCGCAGGGCCTGCATGGCATCCCACTGTATCCTATTGTGTTGCATCTGCCGAGTAGATCTGCGGATCTGCTCCGATAGATAAGATCTGACAGGATCGAGGATCGAGGATAGCCTGTGCTGTGCTGTGCTGTGCTCTGCTGCATGTACTACATGTAGCACTTGACTATTCGGCGACGTGCGGGGGTCATGAGGAGGCGAGAGTGAGAAGGCGAGAGGGAGAATGGAAAGCAATCCCTAATCTTTCGGCTAGCTGTTTGTTTGTTGTGTTCGGCGTCGCTTATTCCTCGTGTCTCGCGAGAACTTTCCCTATCTGTACCTGCATGTCCTCGGCGATGTGCAGGGTGCTTGTGCTTACAGAGAGGGAGCGACACAGATAAGCGCGGCTGGCTAGGTGTGTGCCAGGTAATGGCATACTCAAGGGGGTTCCCGGGTTCCCGGATCTGTGGAATCCCGAAGCTGCGGGTGACGGGTCTGGGGGATGTGCCAGCCAGCCAGAGCCATGCCGATCTTCTGGGGTTTGGGGGAAATTGTAACACGAAAGGGTGATTGGTAGAGCGAATGTTGGGATTGTTTGGCTGTTTTTGGTCTTTGTTTCTGTTATTTGTCATCCCTGTGTTTCTGTTGATCTTTCTCTCTCTCTCTCTTCCTTCCTTCGGGGAGGTGAGTAAATGTGCGAGGGCTTGTTGTCTTGCAGTTGAATGGGGGATTGACGGGTTGGGCATTAGAAAGAGGCTTGCTATGTGCAAGCTCGTGCTAGGAAGAGGGAGGTTCGTCAGACGAGAAGGGGAGTGCACATCACATTTTCCACTTGTCATTGCTCTTTTAGTGTTTCCGTCTAGGGCGAGGAAAAGAAACTATCTACGAGCCCCTGACGCTCGATGCCTCTGCCTGCTTGCTTGCACCGGTACACTGTAGGACTGTGCTCTGCCTCGGCCTCCTGTTGCTAGTCTACCTTCGTCTGTATATCTATCTCATACCAACCCTATCCGACAACGCTCACCATGGCAGTGACACGACTGAAAAAGTCTCTTGCACCCGTTGCTTTCCTCTTCACCTTCGCAAGTCTGACAGCAGCAGACGCAGACCTCCTCCAACCTCGCAAACCCGGCCTCCCCAGCCTGCCGACCATCTCTTTCCCGCCTGGCTTCCCGTTTAATCTGCCGAGCCCAACGAAAAAGTCAATACCGTACGATGCCATTCCTAGGCCTAGCTCGACTTCGTCGCCTTCGTCGTGTACGGATTCGGAGACCTCAACGCCGGGTCTCGTATACACCGCACCGGGATCGGGAAGCAGCAAGCCACCACTCACAGTTCTCGTTCCCACACAGCCGTTTCCATCAGTTCCAGTGCCTTCCTCTCTGAATTCCATCATTCTGATATCGACTGGAGGTCTGGGACTGCCGCTTTCGAGCTTTGCCGTACCGAGCATTGCTCTACCAGCCTCGACCTCGGTGTTTCCTAGCCCGGTGAGCTGCGAGGGTAGGTATCAGGCAGGAATGTTCAAGACAATCGTTACGCATGTCAGCTACGTGTTGGTCAGTTATTACAGCACGGTGCTGAGCGAGGAGACCCTGTTTGCGGGGGTGTGCTCGGCGTCTACAAGCTCGAGTGGCAGCGCCCCGGTCTCAGTTCCGATCACGTTCTCCCCGTCATCCAAACTAGCATCAAGTGATACTCTTTCCTCCGATTTCATTCCAAGCAGTATTTTCGTGTCGCAGAGTCCGAGTAGTTCACGATTTCCTACGGCATCTAGCGCTCTTGGTCCATCGTCGCTAGTGGCTGTACCTGGTACGAGTTCCACGTCTGGTCCAAACCAAGCTTGTGGAACCACGACAGGTGCTTATACAATCACTTACTCCGAGCTATTGCCACAGCCTACAGGAGAAGTAGAGCCAGACTTCAGGAAGGTTGTTGTCTACGGAGTACATTTCCCGGTAGATGGTAGGCCCAGTTTTTCAACTAATGGCTACAGAATATAGATGCAGCAGCGGACGACAGGCCCTCTGCTGAGGATCAATGCCAGCATTTTTGTGACGGCGAGCCTCGCTGTGTGGCAAGCTGGTACGTCGGATACTGTGAGTAATCATTTTTCCTACTCCGAGATAGACGGCAGCCGTAGCTGACACGCTTCAAAGCGCCTCTCTATAAAAGGTGGGCCTGCGCAGTGTTTGGCACAACGTTAGCCATCACGGACTTCACGACCAGGTTTTCAACGGCCACGATCGTCAGCGGTGCGGCGTTCAATGGCAAGTGTACCAGTGCAACGCTTAGCACTGCTCAGATCGCACCCACGACTTTCGCAACATCTTCGCAGAGACTACCCATTTCTAGCTCAGGAAGCTCCCTCTTCCCTGCTCAGACGAGCGGCCTGTCGAGCTTCAGTGAGATCTTGCCGACTTGTACTCGCGCACCACAAGCTACGACGGATACTTACACACTGACATCATTCGCCGAGGTGAAACCTACCGGGACGGGCACAAATTTTCTCGTCAACGCCCAGATTGTCAACAAGAACCTAGTGTCCTATCTGGTAAGCTCGTCGACGCCTATACATCTCTTGAACATCAGTCGATATGTAGCTGATGAGCGAGGCAGACCATCGATCGCCCCGCCGCCGACCGTCCCGCCGCCGAAAACGACTGCAGCAACTTCTGCATCGCAACTCCCGGATGTCTGAGTCTGTTCCTAGGATTTGGCCCATACGGTAAATACATACATACATACATACCCAACCCCGTCCCAAACCACACACAATCCTCGCGGCGACCGCTTTTCAAAAAAGTCGAAAAATGAAAACGAAACCTGCCGATCTATCTATCTAATGCTGATATGTGATGAATTCGCTGACTAACTCAATGAATGAAATGAAACTAGTGCGCTCGAATGATAAGTGGACGTGCTACGCCCTGCGGGTCTTGATCGCGCCCGACTCGTGGCTGGATAGTCCCAAAGCGCAGCTTTCCCTCGCGGCGGGCTTCGCGAGGATATGCCCGACGTCGAGTTCTTTGGTCGTGCCGATGCCGAGCTCGGGTCTTGGTGGCAGTAGCTCGATCTAGGCTCCGGCTACAGCGACAGGGATAAATGAGTTGCTTACACCTAGATTTGTACAGAAATTTGCAGCCTGGGAGATCGAGGCCTCTTGAGTTCTGGCAGGCTTGATTGGTGAAGAGGCTCGGGATGGAGAGGCTGGTGCGTTGTTTCGGGTGAAGGGAGATTGTCAATAGTGGATGGATGGATGGATGGATGGCGGATGGCTAAGCGAGGGAGGGGTTCGGGTTCGTCACTAAGCGGGATCAGGGGTCGTGTTTACCTTTTCTTTTTTCTTCCTTTCTTTATAAACGCTCGTCGCGCATCAACGACAAATGGTCAGGCCATCACAAAAGCATTCAACAGATTCCCACCTCGCTTAAAATATAACAATTCCGCTGTAGATTACAGATACAGTACGTAGCCTGCTCCGTTTTTTTAGGATGATCCAGATGATGTACCAAAGAGCCAGCATGCAAACCCCCCTTCTCCGGGGAACAGCGCGTGTTATTGGGTGTGGTGACGCTTCATCAAGAACATATTGACGTCCACGTTGGCGGTTTCCTCGCTGCTGTCATCGATGGCCGCGAGGCGCTCGTTGGGGAGGAGGATGGCGCGGTCTAGTTGATAGGGGAGGCCGCGATGGCGACCTCGGATCATCATGGCGCAGAGGATGAGCTTGCTAAAGGGCGTGAATTTGCCGGAGAGGGAGGTGAGGACAGAGGGGTGGCCGAGGCTGAGACCGACGTTGGCGCTGGGTTATGGTCAGTGGTTGGCAAGATGGAAAGCTGGAGGGGGGCAGGTTAGAGAGGACGTACTAAGCGGAGACTACCTCGAAGAAGATGGAGAACACGTTGATGGCCTGGAGATGTAATCAATCAGTGTGGCTGTTCATATTTTTTTGGGGGGGGGGAGGGGGGGATTTCGATGATGCTGGAGGATGGGAGAATTCTGGCTTTGGCGGGAGGGCAACGCACCGGATTGTTGGGGTCAGCGATCTTCTGCTCTTCGGCAATGGTGATGCAGAAGATGCCAAAGAAGATATACCACAAGTCGAAACTCAACTGGTTCTGCAGATGCATGACGAGGTAGGAGCGCGGGTCCTGCTCGTCGACGTCTACGCGCTTGTCAGAGTAGATGCCGAGACTCTTTTCCTCGTACGTGTTGGAGGCACGGACACTGATGGCGATGGGGTAGACCGAGATGTACATCATGACGAGAAGACCGAACTGGACCGCGGGATTGACCTCGGCCAGATTGAACGTAGCCGTCCCGGTGGACCTGGCGGAGGCGGATTGAAAGATTGCTGCGAGCACGCGAGGACCTGGGGGCAGCACCGTCACAGTCTCGTTGTCCAGATCTAAGAGGATGATGAGGAGCACATCGACGACGTTCAAGACGACCAAGATGCCGAACAGAACCCAGGTGGGGTGGCTTGGGAACAGGAGGGTGTAGCAGCGGCGTGGGTGATCGAGAAGAAACTGGAGGGGCTCTCTGAGCGACGAGGTCTTGGATACAAGCTTTGATCCCATCCAGATCACGAGGCGGAGCAGTATAGGGTAGAAGGTATTGCCGGCATAAGCCAGGAAGGTCATTACGATCATGGGAAAGGTGGCATCTCGAAAGCTGATCATCGAGTCGGGCGTGAGAGTGAAGCCCAGGTTGTTCGCCATTGTCTGGGCGGAGTAGAAAGCCCTGGCGCCATTAGCTACTGGTTGGCTTGTTTTGATTGGGAGATTTGAGTTTCGGAGGGAGCGCTGATAGAAGCGCGACCGGTGCAAAATAACGAGGGTGTATGGCTGGAAATCTGGAAGCGAAGCACATAGAAATCGAGAACACATACCACCATATTTTATTCTGGCCACTCTCTTGCACATAATCAGTGTATTTAGCCGGTGCATACTGGATCCAAATCACCAGGCAGATAGCACCGAAGATATGCAGTCCGAAGAAAAAGCCTAGAGTACTCCGTTTAGTGTTACGCGCAAAATGAAGTTCGATTACTAACCGAGCACGATCTTCAGCAATAGCCGTAAGCTGCTATATTCGATACCTCCCAGTCTGAGCCGATCCTCGATCGTCAGTCGGTGGAAATTTGAGTTCCTACCCACGGTCGCCTGTCGTGAGAGGAATGGTATGCGAAACTTGAGCCGTGGAGTTTGTCCATCGTCCCGTTCCGTACCTGACGCACCAACGACGAAAATGGATGAGGCGACGTGAGCCACAGCAGCGGAATTACTTATCTGGCTACTGTGCGTTGCCGTTTTTCGCAATTTGAACGATCTGCCAAGCTCCGTTCCCGAAAGAGCCGATTTTGGTCTGCTCGCGCCTTCTAAACGAACCTAGTAGTCAGCACCAGTAGGCTCTAAAACATAGCTAAGAAGACCTACCTTCATCGCTCATCAATCTTTCGGGATCTTGATTGGCGTCTCCTGTCGATGGCTTAGTATATAGATCTTGCTTGTTGGCAGAGAACAGGAAACATATTGTCAGACCTACTTGCAGATTTCTCCCGGAGCTGCTCAGGCTCCGGGCCAAAGTTAATATGTTTCGCGGGCTGATTGACGCTCGTCTCGTTACCACTCTCTTCTTTCCTGTGGCTAGAGCCAAACAAGTCCGCCTGGGCTTCGCAGTCTCTCACTGGCAAAGCGACGGTGCCATTTTCAGCATCGTGGGCGCGTGATTCAGAGTCTTCAATTCGTCAGTAACCGATGATGATTTTTGTTGGAGGTAAGCTAACCAGCTTTCCTAAGGCGCTTTTCGAACCACATGAGACGCACCAAAACGACCACGATGTTGATAAATCCGATGTTGCCAAGGATGGGAAAGAAGTATAATACGACGAGCTGCTGGTACAGTTTCAAATCTTTCACATCGATCCTGTCTCCTCGTCCCACGATTAGCGATATGCGTGACCTATTCCGACAACAGAGGTCACAAACGTATTTAGACCTGATTCAGTGGCAGCGCTGACCCCAAAGAAGAATGCATCCGTAGATGGCATGTTCTTGTGCGGGTAGATGATGATGTAACCGAGAATGCTCAAAACAATAATGTACATGTCTTCATCATGTCAGCATATATGGTCGCTGATAGTTGGTTGAACATTCCATGACGCACAATGGAAGGTAATGAAGTTCATCGGTGGCTTCCACATCTTGTCCGTCTCGCTCAAGTCAATGTTTGGCCGGACTCAAGATCGCGTGGTGGCAAGGGGGTAGGCGGACGAGAATGCGGAAGCTCGAATGCGGTGTTGATGCTACACAACCCTCTAACCGTGGTGTTGTTGGTTAATTCTTGTACACGGAGGTATATGAGGGATTTTCTGGTGGCTGAGCGAGCATGGAGATTTGGCATAATGCGCTAGCCGACCGCCAAGTTCCGAAATAAGAAGATGGTAGTATCGGTACGACTATTAAAATACTTTGTGATTTGGTCTGCATCAACTCACTGCGCATTGTCAGCGCTCAAGGAATTATTTGATGATGCCATAGCGAATCCATAGCGAATTACGGAAAATGTGATATCAACTGACAGAATGCTAAAAAAATGGAATTTTTCCTTATCCATCAGTCTCCTGCGATCAAGAAAAGAAGTGGGGTGCTTCATGGCCTTAACTGACTCTCGGCGCCGCATAAGCGGACTTCGCTGTCTGGGCATCCGAGATTGCCTTTCACGAGAAGTTTCACCTCACTTGCGCTCCTTGAGGACACCGACACAAGAACCTCTATATATAATCTGCTTCTCCAAGATCTATTAAAAATGGTCTGCTCTCCCGGAATTAGCGATCCCACTCACCGGGTTCGCGGCGCAGACGACCGTGGATCCATGACGATTTCAGAGGTCTTCTCGGCACTTGGGCAGCAGGGAATCTATCCACCCAACCAGATAAGCTTCCGGACAGTGAAGTTACTACGTATGTTTTTCGGGATATATGTAAGTACTTATTATTAGTAATAGACCACAGGCCTATGCGCCGTATTTTTGGTTGGTGGCAGACTCTGCTTACTATTAATAGATACAAGCACTCGCTTAGCTTCGTTTGTTGACTATCAAACGAAGAGAGATTTTTAAGAACCCCGCAGAGGAGGCGATTGATGGAACGAGTTCACGATTATCTCGCCTCCAAAGCATCATTATGCGCATTTGTTTACCAGGGGAGTTGGATTGCGTAAGGTGTTTTCGGACGTCAACCAAATTGTGTGGATCTTGAATTCCATTTTGTCTTTTTGCTGTACGGTATTCCTACGCCAGACGTTTGCAGCTTGATTCGAACCGAGACTTTAATTCCAGCTAGCGTGGGACAAAACAACCACTGCGCTTTGAAAAAGCTCCAATGGGCGGCGGTGAGGTCAGGCGGCGGTGAGGTTAAGCGGCGGTGATGTTAGGCGGCGGTGAGGTTAAGCGGCGGTGATGTTCACGATATCAAGGTAGGCTGCATTATGACGGGATATGCTAACGATTTACTTCTATCCCCATGAATACATATGCAAAGTATAATTTCGCAAGGACTCTTACCAGGGCTTAAACCAATCAACTTATAAGGATTCAGCCTTGAAAAGTATCTTTGAGCCAGTATTTAGTCTATACAGTGGAGTTGACAGGGCTTTGAGCCATTCAGAAACCACCGATCTACGATTTATAGGGCAAATTAGTACTACTACTACTATACGTAGTAGTAGTACTTTGCA